CAACCTGAGAAAGTCTGAGCAGCGGAAGCATTGGACATCTTAATGAGGACAAAGAATAGGTCCACAAAGGATGAAATACAGGGTGAGATGGAATGATAGGAGAGTATAGTCAGAGAGAAGAAGAGCAGAATTTCTTTTTTTAACATGTGTTTTTAAAATTTTGGGTTACAAATTTTCTCCCTTCCTCCCTCCCCACCCACCCTCATTGAAAAGGCAAGCATCTCGATACAGGTTATACATGTGCAGTCATGCAAAACACTTCCACAGTAGTCATGTTGTGAAAAACTAAGCATATTTCCCTTCATCCTATCCCACCCCCCCCATTTATTTTATTCTCTTTTGACCTTGTCCCTCCTCAGAAGTTTTTGCTTCTGATTACTCCCTCCCCCAATCTGCCCTCCCCTCTATCATCCCCTTCCCCCCTTAATTTCCTGTAGAGTAAAATAGATTTCCATACCCCACTGTGTATGTTATTCCCTCCTTAAGCCAAATCCTATGAGAATAAGATTCACTCATTCCCTCTCACCTTCCCCCATTTCCCCTCCACTGTAAAAGCCTTTTCTTGTCTGTTTCATGTGAGATAATTTACCCCATTCTCTCCCTTTCTCCTTCTCCCAGAATAATCCTCTCTCACCCCTTAATTTTATTTTCCAGATATCACCCCTTCATCTTCAACTAACCCTGTGCCCTTTATCTATCTATATCTATATCTATCTATATATATACATATATATATATACACACACACACACACATATATATATATATACATATACATACATGCAATTTTTCCCTCCCACTACCCTAATACTGACAAAGGACTCACGAGTTATAAATATCATCTTCCCATGCAGGAATATAAACAGTTCAACCTTAATAAGTCTCTTATGATTTCTCTTTCCTGTTCACCTCTTCGTGTTTCACTTGGAGTCTTGTATTTGAAAATCAAATTTTCTATTCAGCTCTGGTCTTTTCATCAAGAATGCTTGAAAGTCCCCTATTTCACTGAATGACCATTATTTCCCCTGAAAGATTATATTCAGTTTTGCTGGGTAGGTGATTCTTGGTTGTAATCCTATCTCCTTTGCACTCCAGAATATTGCCCTTCGGTCTCTTAATGTAGAAGCTGCTAAATCTTTTGTTATCCTAATTGTGTTTCCACAATACTTGAATTGTTTCTTTCTGGCTGCCTGTAATATTTTCTCCTTGACCTGGGAACTCTGGAATTTGACTACAATATTCCTAGGAGTTTTCCTTTGGGGATCTCTTTCAGGAAGTGATCAGTGGATTCTTTCAATTTCTATTTTGCCCTCTGGTTCTAAAATATCAGGGTAGTTTTCCTTGATAATTTCTTGAAAGATGATGTCTAGGCTCTTTTTCTGATTATGGCTTTCAGATAGTCCAATAATTTTTAAATTCTCTCTCATGGATCTATTTTCCAGGTCAGTTGTCTTTCCAATGAGATATTTCACATTCTCTTCTATTTTTTCATTCTTTTGGATTTGTTAGTGTCTTGATTTCTCATAAAGTCACTAGGTGCCAGTTTCTCCATTCTAATTTTTAAGGAAGTATCTTCAGTAAGCTTTTGGACTTCCTTTTCCATTTGGCCAATTTTGCTTTTTAGGGCATTCTTCTCCTCATTGGCTTTTTGGACCTCTTTTGCCATTTGGGTTAGGCTATTTTTTAAGGTGTTATTTTCTTCAGAATTTTTTGGGGTCTCCTTTAGCAAGCTGTTGACTTGTTTTTCATGATTTTTTTGCATCACTCTCAGTTTTTCCTCTACTTCTCTTACTTGCTTCTCAAAATCCTTTTTGTGCTCTTCCATGGCCTGGGACCAATTCATATTTTTTCTTGGAGGCTTTGGATGTAGGAGCTTTGACTCTGTTGTCCTTTTTTGATTGTATGTTTTGATCTTCTTTGTCACCAAAGTAAGATTCTATTGTCTGACTCTTTTTGCGCTACTTGCTCATGATCCCAGTCAATTACTTAAGTTATAAACTCTTTGTTAAGGTAGGGGTCTGTTTCCAGTGTGGAGAATGTACTGTCCCAAGCTTCAGGGGTTTTGTGCAGCTGTTTTCAGAGATACTTTTAGGGACCTGTAAATTTTCAGTTCTTCCAAGGTGCTATGGTCAAGAGCGAGGTGTTTACTCCTTTCCTGGCCTGTGCTCTGGTCTATGAGTGACCACAAGCACTCTTTTCTGTCTTACAGCTGTGCGGAGGATTTCCTCTCCACAGCCACTACAACACCAGCACTCCTCCTCTCCCCAGGAGAGCCATTTTTTACAGGTATTTGGAGTGGTTTGGGGGAGGACTCAAGCAAGTCACTGCTTTTACTCTGCCATCTTGGCTCCGCCCTCCAGAATTTCTAATAAGGGAAGTGAATCCCTCGTGGGTAATGGTGAGGTCCATTGTGTCACCATCCATGTGTTCCTAAGGTGGAGTGAAGAAATAAGTCAAAGGCTAAGGATTTGGAAGGTCAGAAATTGAAGGGAAGATCCATGGGAATATTGAAGTTCCCTGGAATATACTATTTCTTACAGCATGGTAACATTCCATTGCATTCATTTGTTTGAACAATTTGTTCAACCATTCCCCAGTGGGATGGTCTCCTATTTTGTTTCTTGCCCTTGTTTCTTAAAAGGATAAAGGGATGCAGGATGTCATTGCAGTTAGAGTTTAAAAGGGAATTCATTGTCTTTTCCTTCTAAACTCTTCTCCCTTCCAAACTTCCCCTATTACTGTCAGAGAAATCACCATCCTCTTGGTCTCCCAGACTCAAAATTAACCATCATCCTCAACTCCTCACTATCTTTCATTCCCCCCACCTCATATCTAATCTGTTGCTGATGTCTATCATTTTCACCTCTGCAACATCTCCGGTCTATTTCACCTCTGCAGCATCTCTGGTTGTTTTCACCTCTGCAGCATCTCTTGCTAATTTCACCTCTGTAGCATCTCTTGTCATCTTCACCTCTGCAGCATCTCTTGTCATTTTCATCTCTACAGCATCTCTTAAATGCCCGTCTTCTCTCCTCTGACACTCCTCCACCCTGGTGAAGGCCTTCATCATCTCACACCTAGATTATTGCAATAGCTGCTGGCAGCTCTGCCTGCCTCAACTCTCTCCCATTCCAATCCATCTCCCATTTGGCCATTAAAGTGATTTTCCTAAAGCACATGGCTGATTGTGTCACTCTCCTTCTCAAAAAACTCTGGCATGTCCCTATCACCTTTATAATCAAATACAAAATCCTCTGTTTGGCATTCAAAGCTCTTTATAACCTACTCCCCCTCCCAACCTTTCCAGTCTTTTAACACCTTATGCCCCCACTTGGTATATATACTAATATGCTATTTGTATATTAGAAACATGGCTGCTAAAAACCATTCATAGCACTTCACCTGGGGCCAACAATCAAAAACCAGAAGATAGACCTATTGGAAGGGAAAGTGGTTATGGTTTCTGTTTATGTCAAGACCCTCAAAATGATATAGGGATGAAGAATAAATGAAAGTACAGATTATCAAAGTATAGAAAGTTGAGCTAGAACAAACCTTTGAAGACATTTAGTCCAACTACCCTCATTTTACATATCAGAAAACCAAGGCCAGGAGGTCAAGCTGCTTGCCCAATAGAGTCACCTAAATCATGAAGGGCAGAGTGGAGTATCTAAACCAGATCTCCTACCTCCTAGTTATAGATAATGAAAAAAGGGAGAAATAGTCAAACTTCAGGCAAGAAATAAAACTATTTGAAAACCAAATTCCTGAACCTCATAAATTAGAAGAAAAAGAAGTCCAGATTAAAAATAGTGGTTTTAAGGAGGAAAGGTTACTATAAAGACCAGTCACATCAAAAAGAGACTTCTAAGCTGATTGTTTTGAACAATAGCAATTGGTATATATAAAGTACTTTACATTATATCATATGATCCTGACAGCAACTTTGTGAGGTATTATTATCCTTTGATATTTATTATTTTTGTTATTTCCCTTGTTATTCATTGATTTTTACAGTAGAACTGAATTTCTACATGGAGACACCTGCTTATATAGATTTTCATCATTTTTAGGAGCATTGGTTTGAGGATGGAAATAAAATTTGGGGGGGGTCAGTGACACAAATATTTATAAATGAGAAAGAGGCCAGCGGAATGCAGCTAGTAGGGATCAGAGATGGGATTTGAACCCAAGTCTTTGCTGCCTCATTATCTAGTACCTTACCTATGAGGTCCTGCCCTTATGAGCAGAAAATTAGTGAGAAAAAAAGGAATATCAGTTTGGGGCCGATTTAAAGATACTTTCTTAACCATTCAGTAAAGGAATAGAAAAAAGCATATCTAGACATGGGGTAAATCCTTCCCAAACCGATTCTATATTTAAATTTGTGAATAAGCACGATTTTACTGTGATCCAGGGTTCAGAAGGGAGGTCTATGGAAAAGCAATGGTGGGAAAAGATCATTAACCAGGAGAATATGGCCATTCTAGGGAATAGAGCATGGGTTGTAGCTCTCACTACCCCTCCCCCTTAGGCCTTAAGGGTTGCAGTCCAGGGCCCTGGCCTTCCTTCTGGGTGGGCACCAATCGTCTTTTCCTGGTAGCTCTGAGATGCCCACAGGTGACTGTCAGATCTGGATCCTAGAGGTAGAGAAGCAGCAAAACCTCTATGATATTCAACAGACATAAATCCATGGGGAAAGGAGAAAAAGGATGCCCCACCCACCCACTGTGGACACATTCTCTAGGACGCAGAGGAGAAAAAAGCAGAGCAGAATAACCCTGAACAATTGTCCTCCACAGCGAGCATTTGTGCTAAAGACCCTCAAAACCTTGTTTCCCACCTCAAACCAATTCTCCTCAAAAAAGAAGAAAAACCAAGCAAGCAAATGTGTGCATACAGCCGTCAACAGAATTCTAATGTAAAGATAAACTAGGGGCAAAGTCGCTCTTTTTTCTTTCTTTCTGCTAAAAAGAAACTTTGTGATTAAACATATTTACTTGGTTTTATCCATATGATGGGCATCAAATCAAAGAGAATTTTAGGATACTGTTCAGTGAGCAATCCCCTGTAGAGAGAAATAAAGAGAAAAGCTATGAGAAACAAATTGAGGAATGAAATTTTAAGAACTACAACAAGCATTTGGGTATTTTGCAGGAATTTTTTATAAGGAAAAACAGATAACTAAGAAGTATATTCGGTTTTGTTGTGGGGTTTTTTTTAAGGAGAAAGGAATGAGGGAGATCAACCCAACAACAAGCAGTTATTAACTGTAGTTATATTGCCAGGAACTGTACCACTAATTGCAGGAGAGGGAGAGAAAGACAGGAAGGGAGGAAGGGAGAAAAAGAGAGAGAAAGAGAATGAGAGAGAGATGAATCCCTGCCTGCAAGAAGCTTACATTCTGTTCTATCAGGGAAGACAATTTGTACATATTTAAGTATATACAACATAAATATATGCAATATTATATATACTATATATAAATATATAGGATAAAGACATGCAATATAAAATATATACAACCTAAGTACAAGATGATTGGAGGGGGAGGTACTAGCGGCTGGGGAATAAGAAAAGATCTCGCTAGAAGGGGGCAGGGCTAGTAGCAGAGATATGGAGAGAACAGAAAAGACTTAAAACAATGTGCTATGATAGGCTGTCAGGCCTAATTCTATTCTAGTTTCCCAGTTCCCTCAGTGGCTAATACCACCTCTTTCAGATCAGCTTCCATCCATTCTCTCTCTGTATATTTCATATGTACCTCATTGTTTACACGCTGTCTCCCCTGTTAGAATGTGAGCACCTTGAGGGCAGGGCCCTGTCTTTTGCCTTACTTTGTATCTTGGGTGCTCAGCACGGTGCCTGGCACACAGTAGGCACTTAATAAATGCTTGTTGACTTGGTACAAACCATACCAAAAAGGAATCTCTACAATCACATGGCCAACAAGTGGCCATCCAGCCTCAACATGAATTCCTTTGGTGAGCTAGGACCTCGCCCCCTCTCCTCAGCATCCCTCAAGGGCAGAGACCACTTCTGAGTTCAACGCTAGGTATTAAATGAGTGGTTGGAATGATGTCCCTATGTTCTAATATATCTAGAGTTGAAACTAACCTCCTTCTATGCCAACGGGCTCCATCTAAGTACAAGCCGTGGACATAAACACCATCTATGGGTGGTTCCTGGGCTGTGTCTTCCGGAATCACCTGAAAGGACACAGACAGTTAGGAGGGCTAACACACCTGTGACCTCTTTGCAAGACTCCTGGGAAAAGTCAGTGCTGTTCATATCTAAAGATTTAAGTGTCCAAGGTTTTAAAATCTTCTGACAAAATAAAGCATGTAGCTTTCCTACACTGATCAACTTTCCTTGACTTTGGCCTTTCCCAAATTTCTCCCATATGGGAATCCTAATGGTATTCCAACTTAAAGTTGGCACCTAATGAATGAGTGAATGGATAGATGAATGAATGAACGAATTCTGGCCTCACTGAAACAGACTCAATTTTGCACAAGCGATAATTTAATGACAAAGATGTGAGAGGGCCTTTATTTAAATATACAAATTAATTTGCTTGTTTTTGGTTATACAATGTTACAAAAACTAGAAGAAAAATAACTGCAGGTTAGAATTTTACAGGAAAGGCTGGGACTTACTCTTCTTCACACAGGTATCAAAACAAGAACAAAGCATTTCCAAAATAAAAAAACGAGCATTATCCACGTGTGGGAGCCCCAACAATTAGAATTCTTCAGGTTTCCTTGCTTTCCTGTGAAAGCTCACGCATTCCAACTCCCTCAGATTTTTCCAGGCAGAGCTCTGCTGGAAGCAAATTCTGCCCTAGAGAGAAGAGTGAAGGCATAGAACAGCCCTACTGCACGTAGCCTGTTCCCTAGAAAGTCCTGGCCCTCAGCCCTGCCAGGCTTGGGGAGAACGTGGGCCCTGGCGGAGGACACTACACCCAGAGGACCTTAGGGGTGGCAAGCATGGAGCAGTCACACCCATATTCCTGCATGCCTCCAGGTGAGGTAAGGAGACAGTGAGAAGGCATCCCCAGCTCTGCCCCCAGGGGGTTTGAAGTCAGTCCTGAGGCTACCTTAGAAGATAAACCACCTTATAAGAAGCATTTGGCACACATACCAAATAAATGCTGGAAATCATCTTTATAAAGGGTTTTTTTTTTAAGCTTCATAAAATCAGAGATTCAGAGACGAAAGGGACTTTAGAGGCCAACCTCCTCATTTTAGAGATAAAGAAACTGAGGCATAGAGGGGTTGTGACTTGTCAGATCAAATTACATATTAGTAAAGCATTTAGCACAGTGCCTGATACATAATAGGTGCTATATAAAAGTCAGTTATTATCATTAGCTATTATTGTCCAAGGCAATACTGTCTGAGGTAGGATTTGAATTTGGCCCTTCCTAACTCTTTCCACCCCCCACCCCCACCCCGGCTCTCTATCCCCTGGAAATGTCAAGTCAAATTGTATCTATCGCTCATGTTTCTAGTGACAGACTACAAAAACATGGAAAACCAAGGCCAGGGATGGTATTGGTGCTCTGACCTGCCACTCATACCACATCAAAACCCCAAGCTGAATACTCATAACAGCCTTTCATAGCAAACTATCAGATTCAATAACAGTTGTGTCACAAGGATGAGGTACCTAGAACATATACATTCTTTAAGTTTTAGGGAGCACAAGGAATAAGTAAAAAGTTGAATGCTCATTTTGAAGGCCTCCCAAAACAAAATCCTATTCCCATGAATGTAATATACCAACGAGATCAAAGAGTGACCATACCTGAAATTCATACCCCAGCAAATCAATTGGGATCGTATATTTTCTAGCAAAATTCTGCATGGCTCCAGTTAAAAAGGCCTGGGTGAAAAAGAAACCTGAGAGCCAAAACACACTGGGTTTTCCTTGTTCAAACCAGACCTAGGAAGGAAAAACAACAAAATGACTTCCTTTTTACAACTTCTATGAGCTTCATCTGATACCATCTTGATTACTTATACTCAGACATTTTTTACCAGACTTGTGATTTCCTTGATATTGAACTCCCGGTGAGAGAACCCCCTCTCCCGTGTAGATCTATACCTATCCTGCAACTTAATAGTCTTACAGGACTGTCTGGGGCCCTGAGTGAAGACGTGATTGGCTCACTTCAGGTCACACAAAGGCAGGGCTCAACCCCAGGTGGGCTTGATGCGGAGACCAGCTGTCATACCAATACCTTGCTACTTGCCCTGCCTACACATGCCTCTTGTTACGCATTTCTGTAACAACATTTTTGGGTGGCACAATTCATGTGGGACGGCTTCTCGGGGTTGTCCCTCTGACTCAAGGTAGTTAACATGAACTTGTAAGCCCCGCTCATGTTGGCTGAAAGGAAGAAGCAACCCAGGCGTGCACTGATGGGGGGGGGATTGTAATTGGGAGGAGCAAGGAGGGGGACAGGGAAATAAACATTTGTAATTTACATAATAGAGGAAGCTTGGGTGTAGAGGTCACCAATGGACCCACCATGTGCAATGTCAGGAGGTAGAGGAAGTTCCCCTAAACACTGATGAACACCCCCCACACACCCCCACAGTGGATTTATAAGAGGTCAAGGACAAGTGTCGCACTGGATGGGAAGACATGGGTGGGCTGTAACCTCATCCCTACAGGAAGTGACCGTATCCAGCGCTTAGCACCTGTCTAATAAATATTTTTTGACTGACTGATGGACATCAGTGAGATCTGACAAAATCTCAAAGCAGATTTAATTAGGAAAACCAATTAGCCAGAGAAAAAAAGTACATTGCATTCTAAAGATAAACATTAACAAGTTTTGTACTATTTGTACCACGATCTCCCCCAGTGGTGAGAACAAATGAGAGTCAATTGTGGTAAGGTGCATTTAAAGGTCTCCCCACCCATTCTCTCCCTTTTTTTTTTAGGCAATGGGGTTAAGTGACTTGCCCAGGGTCACACAGCTAGTGAGTGTTATGTGTCTCAGACCGAATTTGAACTCAGGTCCTCCTGACTCCAGGGCCAAAGCTCTATCCACTGCGCCACCTAGCTGCCCCAACTCCCCACCCACTCTCAAGAGCCAAGATCTGACTCCCCCTCCCCACAAAGATACCTTTGGCTTTACAATGTTTTATGTAAGCATTGATGACATGTAACCATATATTATATTTATATATGATATTATTATAATTATACATTATTATATAATATATAATTATATTACATGTTGATATATAATCTATGGTTATAGGTAATGTATAATTATATATAATTAACATAATAGTTATATGTACTATATAATTATATATAATTAATAAAATATTTGTATATAATCAGTTACTATTGATTATACATAATTGCTGGATGCTTCCTATGTCTCAACTAGATAATAAACTATGGGCAGTTCATAAGCTACCAAACAAAAAACAAGGAAGTGAACAAGACAAGGCCATCTCAAAGTGAAACTTACATCATTGACTGAAGCGAAGAAAAAGTTTAAGAAACCAACGCAGCTAATAAGAAAAGCCCATTATCAAGGACAGGGGAAAGAAAAGGAAGTGAGTGAGGTATGAGGTGTCCTGGTACTTCTCCCTGCAATAGCAAAAGAACCAAAGCAAAGGAAGGCAACCAGTGTGTTGGGTCCACTATGGAGGAATCACAGAAAGCCACGGACAAGAAACCGCAGGGGACAAGAAGACACAGAGGGCGGCGCGTACACTGACAGGATGGATACCCACAGGACAACACGGATCCACAGGAGTTTCTAAATGAGGATATTTGTAACGTGGGAATTCACGGGCTTGAAAATGGTGACGTCCTCAAGGTGTTGAAGTAAATAAAGGGAAACATGTGGGACAAACAGAGGCATCACATGCAACATCTTACTGCAGGATCAACTCTTGGTTGAAGTTCTGGGGCAAGAGAGACAGTATTTACCCAAGAGGGGTGTAAAGATGAGGAAACACAGAAATACTGAGATGGGCCATAGGAAGAATTTACCGAGATAGCTAGGATAGGATAAAGGGAAGTAGGGTGAGGAATAACATTCACGCCACTGTTCTACAGTTACAAAGAGCTCACAGGATCCTTTTAAAAGAAATGATGAAAGAGGAAGAATAAGTCTTTACCGGAGGGAATTTAATAAAGATTCATTTAGCGATTACTGCACACAAGTCGCTGTCATAAAAGCTGGGATGAAAACAAAAGCTCTCTAGATGGGCAGACTCTCTCGCACAATCGGGAAAAGAAGACCCGAGCACCAGAGCAGGAGAGCCACAGCCCGCCGGGAGTGCTGCCTAGAGTCCGCAGGCAGATGAGACACCTCCCCCACCAAGAGCACAATGTGAACAGCAAGAGGCCGATGAAGAAGGAAAGGAGAAAGCGAACCGGAGAAGAGGAATAACAAAAATTCAAGAACAGTGAATGTTCGGAGGGTCTTTTGGACGTAAGACTCCAAAAATTTCCCAAAATGTCAAAAAAAAGGACAAATGAAATTCTGTTGAATATGAAAAGAATCTGGAGATCTAGAGAAACACCCTACCCCAAAATATGGGGGTAAGACATGGACCAGAGTCCCAGACTGGACAAGCGTGGATGGGATAGAGTCTGTGCCACCATAATGCACAACCCCATCACTGAGATCACAGGTTCAAACATTCCCTAGAAAACTGGATAAATACAAGATTTAGAAAATGCCAGACTCCTTGCTTCTAGAAAGTTCCTTCTCCATCCGTCTGTCTGTCCGTCTGTCTGTCTCTCCCTCTCTCTCTCTCTCCTTCTCCCTCTCTTCTTCCCTCCCTCCCTCCATCTCTTTCTCCTCCAACCCCTTGACCAGGGTAGAGCTCACGGGGCCTGGGAGAAGAAAGAGAAGAGAGAGCTCCACCACTCACTCCACATACGTTCACATCTCTCGCATGCGCCTTTCTCTCCTCCTGCTCCAGGAGCCAGCATGTGCAGCACAGCTGCTGGATTGTGACTTCAGGCCCATGACAAGCAGTTGATCCTACTGAGTCCAGGCCTCTCTCAGAATCACAGGATCGTCAATTTAGAGCCACCAGGGACCTCTGAGTTCATCTTGTCCAACCTCCTGTGGGCTCAGAGACCACAGTCTCATACGTAGGTCACAGTAAGCAGTAATGCCAGGATTTGAACTCCAGTCCTTCCTCGTAGGCAACGAAATGTGACTGCAGAGGGGATGCCGCCACTCCACTCCTGATCTTTCTTAGCCTGCTTCACACACTTAAAAACTCCACAAATTCTAAAAGCTGCCTACTGCATGTCCCAGGCAATGCAGATCAGCTACGGTCCTGGGAATGCTTATGACTGTCCCGTGCACAACCTCGTTGTGGATTCTACCACCTTGAAGATATCAGGCACCTTCTGGCAGGCTCTAAGGGCAGGTTTTTAGGATGGGAGTTGGCCTCTCATTTCCCCCACCCGGAAGAGCAGATCAATCAGTTGGGAAGTGGGTTTGGTTTGGTTATTTTACCTGTAAGCAGTTCAGCCTGCAGAAGAAGTCGATGATGTAGCTTCCCAGGGGCTTGAGGCTGGGATAGGAGCGCTTGGCCCACGTTTCTGGCACCTTCCCCACCATCAGGCTACCGGACAAAGCCTCGAGCTCAGAATCCATAACCACCAGCCCCTTGATAGCTTTCTCCAGGTTGAACAAAGTGCGGCGGATGGTTCTGCTCAGGCTGAAAGTTGAAAAGCCCAGTTATCGACACATGCCTATGGGACGGTGATGACAAGAATACAGTTTCCTAGGGAATGCCAGAAGACGCATCTTTGTCATGAGTGCACAGCCCCTCATCTCCAGCCACCACTCACGGCTGTCTCTCAGTTACATAAAGGATCACTTGTCATTATTCTTTAAATGAAGGATATTTCAGGGGTAGCTAGGCGGTGTAATGGATAGGGCTCTGGTTTTGGAGTCAGGAGGACCTGAGTTCAAATCCCACCTCAGACACTTACTAGCTGTGTGATGCTGGGCAAGTCACTTAACCCCAATTGCCTCCCAAATAAATAAACTCCTTCTTTCTACTGGTGAGGAAACTGAGACCGCAAGAGGTTACACAGATAGTGAGCATTAAAGCAGAGATGCAAACCCTTGTATTCCCAATTCCCGTTGCACAGATTATCAGTGTGTCTGTCCATCTGCCACCACCACCAGCTAAGAACAGAGATGCTCCCAAGTTTCCCACATTAGACACGGCATGTCTCTGCTCTCGTTCCTCCGACTGAGCAGCCCCAGGAACCAACAACCAGGAAGATTCCAATTAGATGATGTGAGGAAAGCTCTGTGCAAACTCTGAATGTGACTGGCATTAGCGTTAGCATCATTAGCGTTCTCTCATTCTCACCTTTTCCTCTGGATTCTGATAGAAATCATTTGAGGACAAGCCACTATCTTGCTATTAACCTTTTATATTTAATGTGGGTCCCACTGTGCACAGATGGATGGAATATCTATTTTTTTATCACTGAATAGGACTATTAAGATGTAAGCTCACATTCTATAGACTCACTGAAGGCGTCCTTGGTACAATTCCAATAGCAGAAAGGAGAACCGGGATAATGTATGCCTCATCCCTTGGCCATAACATTTGGTTTTCTTCCATTATATTTTGAAAGCCTTTTGTTTCATAGATTTAAAGATGAGAACATTGATCAAAACTGTCATTCTTGATTCCTTGTGAATCAGTTTTATGGCCAGGAAGGTGTGGGCAACAGTTCTGTGGTCATGATGCTCCAAGTTCAATAGAGAACATTGGTTGAATTCTCAGTGGTGTTGGGGTGGGGCTTAGGGGTTTTGGGGAGGAGGGGGAATGCAGACATTTATCATTACAGTCAATAAAGAAGAGCGAGCTCAATTTTTGCAATGAGGTATCACGGTTTGATGGATACATTACATAAACAACATTGGTAAGCCTCACCTCAAGGGTAATTTTAAGATGCAAAACAATTGCTCCTCTACATTGGTATAGGGAACATCTCCAGGGGAAAAAGCCCAACCCAGTGAAGTAACAGCTTAATTTTGATTATTTTTTTAAGGCAAGTATTTAAAAAGCCAGAACCAATAAGAATATAAGTGTTGCTTACTTGTTAAATCTTTCCATTTCCTGCACCAAGACCGTATTCATGCTTTCTTCGTATCTTACAGGATACCTCAATAAGGCTGATTCGATGTCAAAGTCCGACGGGAGCTAGGACGATGAATTTTTAAACAGTAAGTTACTCTCTGAGCCATACCAATGGTTCCTATGTAATTAATCACAGGCCTGGAACTAAATGGGGGTATTAATGGATGGATCTTGTTTCCACTTAAAACAAGATGGCCTCTGGGAGGCCATCTTGCCAAACACCCTCATTTTAGAGGGGGGGAAACTGAGTCCCATGGAATTTAAGGGACTGGCCCAAGATCACACTGGAAACAAAGGTCAGAGGTAGGCTTCAAACATAAGTGTTCTAGAGGACTCTAGAACCCAAGATCTTTCTAGAACCCCACCGCCTTCAAGTGGTAGATAAACATGTCTTTTATAAGTAGATGCTTATCCCTCAATAACTTAAAAGCTTATAGATCACAGAATGGGCAATTAGGTGGCTAAGTGAATCTAATGTTAAACTTGGAGTCAGGTAGACCTGAATTTGTTTAACCCTGGGCAAGTCATTGAACCTCTGTCTGACCCTGTTTCCTCATCTGTATGAGATAACATTTGTAAAGTGCTTTGCATATATACCTTAAAGTGTGTATTTAGGGTTAGGGTTAGTATTGTTACTAGATTCACAGACCTAGAGCTGAAAGGGACCTACCTCAGAGGTCACCAAGCCCAATCCACTCCTTCAACAGAGGAGGAAACTGAGGCCCAGGGAGGTTAAGTGTTTTGGTCAGGGTCAAAGGTAGTCACAGCATTTGAATCTAGGGCCTCTGACTCCTAAAAGCGCCACACACTTAAAAGGACCAGGAGAGCTCCAATTGAGAGGAGTCCACAGTAAAGGAAAGAATCTTCTTCTGCTTTGTGAATATCAGTTGTTATAATAATAATAATGATAGTGCCTGCTGGCACTTGTACAGTTTTATGGTTTATAGAATGCTTTACAAACAATTCATTTTATCCTCACCAAAACCCTAGGAGTAGGTACTGTTATTATCCCCATTTTATAGATGAGGAAACTGAGGCAGACAGAGATTACTTACTCAGGGACACACAGACCTTTTTATAAGCTACTAGGTATTAAAAATTCAATTTGATGAGCATTTCTTAAATACCCAGTACGCGCAAGGCCCTGGGGCTACGAAGACAAAAAGGAAAAATAAAGAAATGAGACCCGTCTTCAAGACACTTAGGTTCTTCTACTACACGCCCTACACAAAGACAAATAAATATAATGTGCATATACAAAATAATACAAATTTAACAACTGGGAAGTCTAGAAACGTCTTTCATTGGATCTGCTCAGAAAGAAAAAGCCGAGCAATTTGGGACACCATCCTAAAAATCACTAGAAAAAGGGAATTATTCAGAACTACAATGTGCATTTTTTGTACATAAACATCATAAAAAATGGAGGAGAGCTGAGAAGTTATCCATCCTTGCAAGCTGGATTCAACTTAAGAGAATGAGCCCGCCCATGCTCCAGGTGGTAGGAGGGAGACTTTACCATTTCTAACAGTCAAAACAGTCTATAGAAACCTATTTCCTTACTAGAAATATACTAAAGAGAATGCGGCCTTTTTACTGAATGACGAAAAGACCCCAGGACCCAGTTAAATATCTTGAGTTCAATTTCTCATTCTAGCGGGGTAACCTTCAACAAATTACTGAACCTCTCTGATTCAGTTTCCTCATTTGAAAAAAAAAATAGGGCTAATAACACTTGTACAACAGAGCCCACAGGGCTGTTAGGAAGATGACGCTTTGTAAACCTTAACCTGTACTAGTGAGATATCATCTGGGCTAACTTCCTTCAAGGGATCTTTTTAAACTGTGAAACAAATTGAAGCAAACCAGTTATATTCATTGGGTCATCTGTAATCAATTCAACCGTAATAATGAAAATAATAATAATAATGTTGCTGCTGCTGCTGCTGCTAATAATATCAGGCAACTATAGAGTGCCCTACAAACAGTATCTCATTTGTGTCTCCTTTCAATCCCATTGGGTTGAGACATCAGTGTTATTGTTCCCATTTTATAGATTAGGAAGCTGAGGCTCAGAAAAGCAAGTGGAATGCTACCAAGTCAGAGGATCTGGATTCCAATCCAACCTCCATCACCTACTGCCTATGCAAGGCATTTCCCCTCCCTGGGCCTCGGTGGCCTTATCCGTTAAATGAGGTGGTTGGACCGGACACCCTCTGAGATTCCTTCAGCTCCCCATCAGGCACCTGATTCCTCGCTCATGATCACACGGCTGGTCAGCATTCGCGATGGGGTAGGTCTCCTCGCCTCCCCACCCTGTCCCGCTCTGCCTCTTACAGCTTTGCGACCCCTCGGGTCCAGGGGCAGAAATCCAGGTCTGTCCTGCTCCACAGAGGGCACAATAAAACCTGCCCAGGAAGAACAAAATCGTCCGCTCCAAAGAAAGCGCTGGGCTTCTCCCTTACGTACCTTCCCAAGAATGTCGTGGGTGATTTCAAGCAGAGTAGCGTCGGCACTTGCTGAGGAGCCAGACTGGGTGGTCCCCCCTTGGGTTAAGAGCAAAGACTCAAAGAGGGTTTTGGTTTGATGGAGATCTTTGGAGATATCGACGTTTTCATGCAGCCCGAATATCTCAGGTTGTTGAGTGAATGGAAGTTTCTGCAGGAAAACACAAGATCACCCCTGCCATATCGGTATCTGACAGACCAGATTTGAACTCAAGAATTCCCATATCTTCCATGTGCCAGCCACAGTGCAAAGTGTTTGGGATGATCCCCAGCATCCAAACCCCTCAACAAGCCCAAAGAGTTACCTTGATAAATTCAATGTAATCATCGTAGGTCCCCCGGGGAGGGACGTAGTAGTTTCCACTGGGAGAAAACATATAATGTGGGTTCTTGATGATTTCTGGGTTGTAAAAATCAGCCAGTATGGTGAGCAAGAGACGCCTGTCCCAATCATCGGTCACCCGTCCTCCATAGTTACACTCACCAGTGAGGTAAGAGATGGCTTCAAAGGGAACGTCCTCATACTCATTTATAAATAACTGAAATCAAGAAAAATGAGTACATTTTTAAAACGTCTCTCCTTCATCTGAACTTTAACAAGGTTTTCAGTTTTGCTTACCTAGATTTACTTGTTCCAAGGGAGGGTTTCCATTTTGAAGGAAAGGGAGAATTCATGAGTATAAAAGAGATGAAAGAAGAATGCACTAATAAAACTTCTAGAAATACACAGATGAAAGAAATTCAAAAGGAAACAGACAAGCCAAGCAGTCTTGTTACTACTGTATTAAATTTAGAATTTTGTTCACTCATTTTCAGTCATATTCGACTCTTCATGACTGCATTTGGGTCTTCTTGGCAAAGACACTAGAGTGGTTTGCCATTTCCTTCTCCAGCTCATTTTACAAAGGAGGAAACTGAGCTAAACAGCGTTAAGTGACTTGCCCAGGGTCACACAGCTAGGAAGTGTCTGAGGCCAGATTTGAACATGCCCAGCACTCTATCCACTGCACCACCTAGCTGCCCCAAATTTAATGTATATGTGGGGTTTTTTTAATTCTTAACTTTTTTGCCTTTTTTAAATTTAACTTAATTTTTATTTATTTATAGTTTTCAACATTCATTTTTATAAGATTTTGAGTTCTAAATTTTCCCCCTCCTTCCACTTCCCCCTCCCCAAGATGGCATGCAATCTGATATAGGCTACACATGTATGATCATATTAAACATATTTCTACATTAGTCATATTGTGAAAGAAGAATCAGAACAAAAGGGAAAAACCATGAGAAAGAAAAAAACAACAAAAGAAAGAGAAAATGGTATGCTTCGATTTGCATTCATACTCCATAGTTCTTTCTCCGGATGTGGATAGCTTTTTCCATCATGAGTCTCTTGGTGATGTCTTAGATCTGTAAGTATCTTGAAAAAGCAACCTCAAGATGGATGAATTAAAAAGCCCCTACTATGTGCCAATGCCCTATCTGCTCTTAAGGAACCCAGAAAATGTTAAGTATGACAGTCCTTGACACTGTCAAATGACTCACCATCAGAAACCAACATTTTATTAATGGAACTAACAATAACAACAACCATAATAACTAACATAAAGCACTTACTGTGTGTCAGGCACCATGCCAAGCATTTTACAATTACTATCTCATTTGAGCTTCACAACAATGCTGGGAGGCAGGTACTACTCTTATCCCCATTTTATAGATGAGGAAACTGAGGCAAACAGAGGTTAAGTGGTTTGTCTCACAGGTACAAAATGTCTGAGGGTGGATTTGAACTCAGGAGTTGACCTCTTCCAGGGTGTAGTAACGTCTGATTCCCAACTCTCCAGCATCAGCAAAAGAATCTTGGGGTTGAAAAGATGGTCCTTTGCTTCAGGGAGAGATTGGGGCCATTAAAAGTACCTCCCACGGCCTAACTCGAGTTTTCAATGGCCTCAGGTACAGAGGTGATGTGTGTAGTAAACGTGGGGGATGGCGCCATTGACTCGTCGTCCTGATGCCAGGCAGAAATCCCTCCACCACATGAGAAAGAGAGCGCCTCCAGACCCAGTGCTCTGTGCACTGAAATGACATTAGAAAAGAAACACTAACATCTGCTTTGCTGCTGCACTGTGGGGACCAAGGGACCTTTCCAACAGACTTGCGGCTGGACAGAGCTTCATCTTTCATCTGAATGGGAGCTCCTGGAAGGCAGGGCGGCCCTGCTCCGCCGAGCACAGATTGGAAGTTCATTTCTTTCATTTGTCCTGTTCTGTAAACGTCCGGTCTACACCAGCTGCCTGCAGCCCCTTCCCCAGGTGTTTCCACGGCAGCCTCTGGTGCCTCTGACCCTCACTGAGTGACCTCTGGCCCCACAGGTCAGGGCAGCCTTCTCCGATAATGGAGACACCAACCGTGTTAGGAAGCTCCCCGGGACTGGGGACTCGGGGCCTCGGAGAATACCTTGGGGACCACTCTGATGGACAAATGATAAGCTGCCAGTGTCCAGTAGACAGCCGAGGTGACGGATCCCACCGTGTCCCGCCATGTCCCACCGCGAGCATAGCCAAGAGGGATCGACGGGGCATCATTTCCTGCCAATGCCACCCCACCTTCAGGCACTCTCTTTCTCATGCGGTGGAGGGATTTCTGCCTGGCATCAGGACGACGGTTTGTGCCTGTTTTATAAAGAGTCAATGTCGCTGTCCCCCACGTTTACTACACACATTACCTCTGTACCTGAGGCCATTGAAAACTCAAGTTAGGCCGTGGGAGGTACTTTTAATGGCCCCAATTTCTCCCTGAAGCAAAGGACCATCTTTTCAACCCCAAGATACTTTTGCTGATGCTGGAGAGTTGGGAATCAGACATTACTGCACCCTGGAAGAGGTCAACTTTAGGGTCACTCAAAGGTCAATGGAGAAGCACCAGGTGAATATGAGCAGACTACAAGCATACTGCCATTCAAGGATTTGGGGTCAGAGGTCCTGGGTTCAAATCCTGCCCCTAGTACTTGCCACCTGTGACTTCCTTCTCTTGACCTTGCTCATGGGTAAAATGAGGGGGTTAGACTCAGCCTCTGAGGCCCCTTTCACCCCTAAGTCTGTGAGTCAATGATCTCACAAGAAAGATATCTCAGGAAGAGGGGTGTGAATGCCATCATCAGGGGCCTCCCCGCCCTTCCCCACAGGTGATCCCATGTCAGGCCCAGCTTCCCACTGGAGGAACGAGCAAACCTGGGCTCTGGCTCACTCTGCTTCCCGAGGACTGCATTTTGGCCTGAATACAGCCACCAAAATACGCCAGAAATCACAGAAACCACCTTACCTGCAGCTGCCGGACGCTGATACGCAAATCGGACTCGTTAAACCCATATGGGATGTTCCACCCGAGAGGACCAAACTTCTTCCTCTCCTGGACAAGGGCATGAAAAAAGCAAACTCCAAAAAGCAGCTTCTCCCACACCTGGAGGGGCAAAGCAGAGCAGAGCCGGATCCTGAGACGCCGTCAGTCACCTCCTTGCCCGCGTCCCTCCTAGTGCCACCAAGTCATCATCTGTGACTCTTCTGCCCTGCAGGGCTTTCCCCACTAATATGGGACTGTCCCAACAGGGGAAGAGGTAACACAGCTCAGGACAAATCAACTTACCAACCACTATCAATGTAATGAAAGCAACCTAATCTGGTGGAGAGGGAAGGTGATACGGAGTCAGGAAGACGTGGGTGCTGGGTTCCGTGACCCAGGATATATATGTATGCACAGACGGAATAATGTTATGTATACATATGTGTTTGTTTATATTTTATGTATTATATATTTGTATAGTTTATTATATATATAACACATATGTCTCTCTCTCTCTCTCTCTCTCTCTATATATATATATATATACACATACACACAAACATATACCTAAGCACACAAGCTGTCTCTAAGTCTGAGTTTTCCTATAATTCCAATTAGCTAGTGTGGTAGACAGAGCACTGGACCTGGAGTCAGGAAGACCTGAGTTCAGATCTGACACTTACTAGCTTTGTGACTCTGGGCAAGTCATTGCCTCTCTTTGCCTCAGTTTCTTCATCTGTAAAATGGGAATAATAACAGCATCTTCCTGCCAGGTTTGTTGTTAGTATAATCCAATATATAACATACACAAAACAAGATGATGTTTGTGAAGTGCTTTGCAAACTTTTAAAGTGCTATAGAAATGTTAGTTATTATTAATAATAGATTTTCTTAAGGCAGAACACATCTGTCACTTTTTTTAAAAATCATATATTCAAGCTGTTCACTCTGTCCCTTTATTCATGTCTTTTCTCAAAAGGTTTTTCAAAAAGTATTTGGGATAACAGATAGACAGACAGACAGACAGACACACAGACAAACAGATAGACAGATGGATAGCTGGATGGATGCATAGATAGATAGATAGACAGACAGACAGACAGATAAATGGGTTTTTTTAGAGCTTCTTCACTAAAGAGAAAATGAAAAAGAATAGGAACTTTGGTAATAGGCTTGTGTTTGAATCCTCTCTGCTGTGTGATCTTGGACAAGTCACTTATACATTCTGTCAATGATTGGAATAATAGTAGTAAGTGCCTTTCAAACGTATCAAGCTGGATGCCCAGCAGATATCTTTACACTCCAAAAATGGAGCTCACGATCTTTCTCCCATCCCACCTTGCCTATTACTGAAGCGGTCACCCCCGTCCTCCTAGTCCCCCGGGCTCACAGCCCAGAAGCCATACTGGCTTCCTCACTCTCTCACCCTCACACATCTGAGCTGTGGCCAAGGCCTGTGGAGTCTACCTTTACACGGTCTCTCAAATACGCCTCATTCTCTCCTCTGACACTCCCCCACCCCGGTGTAGGCCCTCATCACCTCACACCTGGACTATTATAATAGCTGCTGCTGGGTCTGCCTGCCTCAAAGCTCTTCCCACTCCAATCTGTCCCCCACTGCATCACTAAAGTGATTTTCCTAGAGCGCAGGTCTGACCACATCACTCCCCTACTCAATAAACTCCACTGTCTCCCTCTTGCCTCCAGTATCAGATACAAAGTACTTTGTTTGGCATTCGAAGTCCTTCATAACCTGGCCCCCTCCTACTTCTCCATTCTTCTTACTCTTTACTCCCTACCATGGATTCTTCAATCCAGTGACACTGGCCCCCATGATGTTCCATGAACCAGACCCCCCATCTCTCTGCTCCAGGCATTTTCTCAGGCTGTCCTCCATGCCTGGAATGTGCCCTCTCCTCATCTCTGCCTCCTGGCTTCAGTGCCAACTAAAATCCCATCTCCTCCAGGAAGCCTTCCCCAACCTCTCTGCTGATGATTTCCTATTTATCCTTCATAGAGTCTGATTTGTATATACGTGTTTATATGCTGTCTCCCCTGTTAGATTGTGAGCTCCTTGAGGGCAGGGACTGTCAGTTACCTCTTTTGTATCCCCAGTGATTAGCACAGTGCCTGACACATAATAGGCACTTAATGTTTATTGATTGATTGATTAATAGTAGTAATAATAACTGCACAACAGTCCCCAGAAGCTTAGCCATAAAAGGATAACAGCAATATTATCTTGATCTGTCTCAGGACCATTTCCATCTGAACTCCACTGAAAACAGAGGAAAATGAGGTAATAATAACCATCACCAAAAATAACAATAACAAGAACTGACGTTACGTCGACAATAAGATTATATTATTAGTAATCATGATATGTTAATAAATGACACTTACGTAGCCATTTAAAGTTTTACAAGTGGGATTGATGCACCAGCTCATTTGCTCTTTATAAGCAGCCTCTGTGACAGGGGGTAGGTATTAGTATATCTATTTTACAAAGAAGGAAACTGAGTCTCCAAGAGGTTATCTGACTTGCCCACACAGTCACAGAGGTAGGAAATGTCAGAGGTGGGGTGGATGGAATGCTTCATATCCACATTCATGGACGACACAAGGCTGGGGACAATCTCTCATCCGCTGGGGGACACAACTGGGACCCAAAAAAATGATCACGATGGGCTGGGACAGAGGTCTGGTACTAGTTGGACAAAACTCCATAGCAATAAATAAAAAATCCTGTACCTGAGTTCAAAAAGTCAGCCATATCATTGTAGGCGGTAGCACAAAATCAGGTCATGCAAAGGAAAAAAAAACCCTATCTGAATTAGTGGGTCGTATTCTCCACATGAGTCAGAAGTGTGATGCAGTAGACAAGAGAGTTCATGTGGGAAGCATGAGACAGCAGAAAGGAAGCAGGATTTGGGTTCAAAAAATCTGGGTCCGATTCCTGGCTCTGTGACCTGAGCGACCTTGGACAAGGGTCTTCATCTCTCTGGGCCTGGGTTTTCTGATCTGTAAGAAGAAGGCATTGACCTGATGACTTCTAAGGGCCCTTCCAGCTCCAAGTCTATGATCTCATCCAAGTATGGCGGCGGTACTGCCTGGTGAGAACACATCTGCGATACCGCGGCCAGCTGCAGCCTCCATGTTGTTTGAGGGAGACTGCAAAGTTGGGGAATGCTGTGCTTCCATTCACTGAAGGCCTTTGGGCAGAGCCTAGACAGCCACTCCACTCCTTGGGTAGGCTGTCACGGGGATTCTTTTCAGAAATGGGTTGGACAGGGTGGCTGCCAAATCCTATACTAACTCTGCAATTCTGGGGGTCTGGAAAGTGGTAGGAGAACCTCACCAAGCATGTGTGTACCCAGAAAAGGAGGGGCAGGTCATACGGCAAAAACGAAGGAAGTCCACATCCTGAGCCGATGTCTACGACCCAGAGGACAGACTCCAACATGTCAGGGAGCTCCAATATGGAGATTTTATGATAAAACGTGAACCAGAATTGTACAGGGTGAAGAGTGGTGATCTGCACCAGCAGAGGGAATGTCTGCAACAAGGAGGCCATTGAACCACACAAGAAAACAAAGGAAATTGTTTCCCTCCTTCCTGCCTAGCACATGTTCTACAGCAGTGCCGTCAAACTCAGATAGAAATGGGGGCTACACAGGCATCCTTGTGATCACATATTGACATAGAAAACCACATATTAATATTACCTATGTTCTACTGTACTTCTATTTATTTTGTGCAATATCTGACAACTACATTTTAATCTGGTCAGAGCCTTGGGAGTTTTGTGGGACACATGTTTGACACCTCTGCTCTGGAGCACACACCCAGCAACTACCATCTGAAGTTTGAGAGTTAGTGAAAAACCTGGTTGGACAGGTAGTAGTCAGATTGCAAAGACTGGTTTGATTAGCTCTGATACAGTACAAAACAGAGGTCATTATATGTCCTATATACGAACTAGGACTTCATGAAGATGAGTTCGGCCAAAGAGACTCCAAAGACTCGAGAGGTGGCAGGCGCCCCCTCCCTCGAGGTCTTCAGGAGGCAGATGGACGGCCACTTGGCCGCTGTGAGATAATGGGGATTCCTTTCCTGGGTGGGTTGGACTGGATGGACCCCAAGGTCCCCTCCCAACTCTCAGCTTCTGTGATTCTGTAAAATCTGGCTCATAGACTAGCCATAATCCAGGCATGACAGAAGAGAACATGGATACCACTGACAAAGGGGAAAGTCATGAGGAGGACAACACACACAGAAGGTTTCAGCTGCAAGTCGGACGGAAAGGTGAGGTGAGACTAGATGTTTGCGTGATCATCACCAAAGACCTGAGAGCTGAAGTCACAAGAACAGTGAGCTTTTCAAACAGAGAATGAAGAGAAAGAAGGACAGAAGAGTAATGCTTGAACCTTGGACAGTCCCCAGAGTTAAAATGGCAGAGGGGCAAGAGAAGTCCTCAATGGAAACACAAAAGTCAGAAGAGGAGGAGGTGGAGGACCATGGCATCTTGATGAGCGCTCATGTTCACACACACTCACACACACACACACACACACACACACTCACACGTCACATTTTAAAAGAGCACCTTGTAGTAAAAAATGCCTTCACAGACACAAGGTTTTCCACTCTGTTCACTTTATACTTGAGAGTGCCTTAGCAAATTTTGTGCTTTCAAATGAGAAAGTGTTTAGAACTTAAAATATGTTTTCAGCAAAAATAAAAAAGCTCAACTTGGTAAAACACAGTCCATGCACAGAATGGCCCCTGCAGGCCTTAGTCCAATCCAGCAGATGGGGGAGGGAGAAGTTATATTTCCACTACTCAGACTTTTAAGGGTCATAGCAAAGAATGAACAAACTGAAAAAGCAAAGTTGTGAACATTTTCTCCAAGAAGCAAGGACTCACCTGTTCCTTCCCAGGACATCCTTTGAAAAACTGGAGATCAGAAATAGGATCCGTGAGGTATGACTGAAGGAGATTCAGCCGGAGACCCGTGGGGGGCTCATTTGTCATTTTAACTCCATTTTGTAGAATTGTTACTGGAAACTAAAGAAAAAAAAAAAGATGGAAAATGACAGAAAACCACCAACTTCAAAGTCCCATAAACAGGTACACCAATTGCTAGAAAATAGGAAATATATAATGACTACAGAAACTATAAAATAAAGGAGAGAGAGGGCAAGATAAGATTAATCACTGCAAGCCCACTCTAAACGTGTAGTGTAAAAAGTCCTTAGAGAAATGAGCCAAAGTCTGTCCAACACCGGTGTACCTTTTCAGATGGATAGCTTGTAAGCCAAAGCCGAAAGGCTGGCTGGCAGGTCTCGATGCTGAAGTCTTCACATATTTTTTCGAGCATTGGCATCCAGGACACAGCAAGATGGCAGTTCTGTAAGCAGACCCATGTTCCTTCCTCCATGCTTTCTCTGATCATTCTTGCTGCAATTGGCCCCTGCCCCTGTCCTAATGAGATGGCTTGGAACTTGTTTCCAGACATATTTTTATCATTTGCAAATTTCAGAAGGCCTGAGAGGAGCACAGAAAAATTGCCTAGTTTATTATAAAATACTTTGAAAAAAAAGTACATACACCAGGATCAAAGCCCATCTGTGACTCTTATTACTTTTAAGTTACAAACAGCTGGAATCTACCAGGGGAAAGAAGCCCCTCATAGTCAATTCCTTTAGGGTCTGGATGTTTGAACATTCAAAACCATAATCACCATTTTCCATAAATATCCAAATGACTGAATAAAGTCCCAAAATAATTACTGGTATTTATATAGTACTCTTTTCTTGTATCAAAGGCAGGATTTGAACCCAGATTTACCATTCTCCAAGGTCAGTTCTCTATTCCCCCAGGCCATGCTGCCTCTTCTTACAGAACTTTAATCAATCACTCAATCAATCAACAAGCATTTATTATCATATGCAGGACAGGCATTGTGCTAAGTGCTAGTGATACAAAGACAAGAGTTAGATGGTTACTGTCCTCAAGGAGCTTACATTCTAACGGGGCAGACAACATACATATTTATCTGTAAGTACATTCAGAATATATATGTATATATAATATGTGTGTGTGTGTATGTGTGTGTGTGTGTGTGTGTATGTGTGTGTGTGTGTGTGTGTGTGTATAATAAACACAAAGTAGTCTGGGGAGGGGATTGCCTTGTGTGCAGAATAGCCATTAGGTCTGCTTGGCCAGACCACAGAGTGAATGGAAGGTTCACTTTACATGTCTTCATTTGGTCTTCCCAACAACCTTGTGAGTTCCAAACCAGAGGTATAATTGTCCCCATTTTACAGATAAGGAAACTGAGGCTCAGAAGTGAAGTGACCTGCTCATAATCACACAACTAATGTGTGTCAGAGAGAAATCTAAACCCCAGGTTTTTCCTAATGTCAAGAGCTCTTTCTCCATTTCTCACATTGGAAGGTAAGATCCTGGTAAAAGGTAAACTCCTTGAAGTTGCTTGCTTGTGCCTGTATAGTGCCTGACACATGGTAAGTATCCAATTAATCTTTCTCCACACATTTTCCCATTCATTCATTCATTCATTCATTCATTCATTCATTCTACCAACTCCCATTCCGGTCCAAATTTACCAGTGGGGCAGCTGGCCAGTGTTCCATTTTTTAAGGTTCTTCAGAGTCCCCCCCCTCCACGCACTTACTGGCCATGGGGTCTGCTCCTGGAGACAGCACAAAGATGAGGGGGATGGTGCAGTTTGAGTCTAAATAACTTTTTGCCAAATCAAAAGGTGGAGGCTCAACAAACTTCTTTCCCAGTTTATCAGTTACATAATTCGTTATAGCTGGGCTAATCTGTTTAAAAGAGAAAAGGAAAAGTTAAGGGTTATGCGAGTTTTGACTTTGCACGGGCTCTTGTGTAGTTCTGAACAAAGCATTTAGTTTCACATCTAAAAAAAAAGTTAGAGGAGTAGGTCTTATCGTGTGTGTGTGTGTATCTGTGTATTTGGAGGGGGTACTGGAGTAGTTTAATGTTTAGCAAAAGTTTAATGTAAAGCAAAGTATACCAGCTCATCGACGGAGTTGTAAAGAGGGAGAGGGAGGAATGAAACCATAGCAAAAGCTGACAGGCATCGAAAGGTAAAGGGGAAAGGCCACACATGGAAAATCAACATTTCCCAGCCTGGAAAGGAAGGGAGGCCTGAATACTTTAATTTGATGACAAAGAGTGTGAATGTGGCTCCAGGCATAAACTAATGCCACACTTTGTCCCTGAGCGCCTCATCCACTTCAGATCTCCAATGGGGGGTGCTTGGTGAAATCACAGAACTGAAGCTAAGCACCCTAAGACAACATAGAATGGCTTAAGGAAAGAAGGGATTCTTGAGCAAGGAAGAATCAAATGTGTCTAAGAGAGAAGAGAAGCAAACATTTTCTCGGCTCCTGCCTGGAAGTGAGAAACAACCTCAAAGCAGAAAGAGAGAGAGAGAAGACTCTTCCTAAAACCAAGGGTTATCATCATAGCTGAAAGAGCTCAGTAACACCGTGTAATAAAATAAACAGTAACAAGAAGTGCTAACTGACTGACTTACTGACTTCAGACGAACAATATACCCAGCCCCTACCCAGCCTGGCCAAGCTGGAAAAAAGTCTCCCAAAGCTCCACCGAAAACCTGTGGATGGATCATGAGAATCCTCTGGGGGGAGAAAGGACACATAGTAGGACCTGCCGTTCCAGACTTCAGAGACGCCTTGGCCGTGTGTGCTCCCTCCATGGGCTCTCTCACTACTGTTACGCTTGAGGTTCATGCCCACTCTTCTCCTCTCCCAGACTCTGGCCAGGTTTGTGGGAGACTGACTGTAGCTCTCATGTTTGGGGAAATGCAGCATAATTACTCTTCTTGACATGCTATTTGAGCAAGCATGTTTGTTAAAGAAGTAATTTAATCCAATGGCTGATGGAGGCGAAGCATACCAGTGAGACCTCATGAGCTATCCCCGAGAGCTGTACAACAGCCTTCTAGGGACCCAAACGGTTCTGTGAGTGAAGCCCAACAACAACAAAAACTGATTGAATGGCTACTACATGTAAAACACCAGGGATACAAAGTGTGAGGTACGGCCCTGCCCTAAATGTCAGGATAGGGATGTGGACGGCAGCCGGTGTTTGAGGCCTGCCATAGTCTTTTCCGCCCTATTTTGCACACTCTACACTTATGAATCCATCCACCAAGCTCAGCACCCTACCTCTCCTGCCTTGGAGCATTCATCCCAGTATGTATGCGCTTTTCTCTTCTAAGACACTCCAAATCCTTATGCTGATCTTACCATAACTTTCCATGATGCTCCATCTCCTGTTGCCATATTTTGGCACTGGCTACACTCCATTCCCAGCGTGCCCTCACTCCACACTTCTGCCTCTTCAAATCCCTGGTTTCCCTTAAGACTCAGTTCAAGCACCATCTTCTGTATGAAGGTTCTGTTGACCACCAGTACCCCCTCCAAATACACAGATACACACACACACACGATAAGACCTACTCCTCTAAAGTGTATTTATTTTGTATGTATGGGCATATATATGTATATATAACACATATATATGTATATACTTACATTTTATAGGCTTGTATCTGTTGTCTCCCCTGACAGAATGTAAGCTCTTTGAAAGCAGGGACTATTTACTCGCTTCTTTGTATCTTTAGAATCCAGCATTTGACACATAGTAGGAATTTAATAAATGCTTATTGGTTTCTTGATCTTCCTTCAAGGATTCAAATACTACCTCCTCTGGGGAACCTTCCATGATCTTCCCATTTGTCAATGCCTTCTCCTTCCTCAAACTGCCTGTGCTTACTTATCTGTGTACATGCTCCACTCTCCCCCAGTAGGGAGGGGAGGCAAGGTGGTTTAGGAGATGGAGCATTGGCCTGAAAGCGCAGAAGATCTGGGTTCGAGCCTGCCTCTGACCCTTTCTAGCTGTCTGAACAGGAGCTAGCCAGTCAACTCTCTCCTTGTCTTTAATAACTGTCCCACAGGTGCTTGTGAGAAAGGTGGCTGCTTTCTAAACAGGAGTCATTATTGTGATTTTTTGTGTCGTTAGAGAGCTTCTAAGGTCTGGACACATGAGCAGATGGATGGGCCATCAGGAGAGCTGACTTGTGTCAATCCTGACATTCTGACTATAATCAAAACCAAGGACAAAAGGAAATTCAGGCGAAACGCAAGGACAGCCAAGAGGCAAACAAAGGAGTGAGTGGAGCTGGCTTTGTCAGGCCTCCAAGGACTTACCAAAGGGGAATCTCTTGGAATCTGCTTTGCAAACCTTACAGACTTGAAGGCATAGGAAACAAAACTTCATTTCTGAGCCATACTGGTAAGAATAGCTAACATTTCCATAGGACTTTAAGGTTTGCAAAGTACTTTGCAAATATCACCTCATTTGTTTCTCACAACAATACTGAGGGCTAGGTATTATATATCCTCATTTTACAGATGAGGAAACTGAGGCAGACAGTTACGTGACTTGTCCAGAATCAAAAAGCTAATAAGGATTTGAGGTCAGTTTTGAACACCGGTCTTCCTGACTCCAGGCCTAGCATTCTCTTTACTATACCATCTAGGGGCCACAAGTCAGTGACTTGGTGAAAGGGGTAGTAGCCTTCTTTTTTTTAAATTAATTTATTTTGAATTATCAACAATCACTTCCATAATTTTTTGAGTTTTAAATTTTTCTCCCCCTCCCTCCCCACCTCCCTCCCCAAGATGGCACACAATCTAATATAGGCTCTACATATACATTCCTATTAAACATATTATCAAGTTAGTGATGTTGTAAGTAAGAATTAGAACCAATAGGAGGAACCACAAGAAAGAGGAAACAAAACAGAAGAAAAAATAGCAAATAGTATGCTTCGATCTGCATTCAAACTCCATAGTTCTTTCTTCTTTGTGGACAGCATTTTCCATCACGAGGCCTTTGGAGATGTCTTAGATCCTTGCATTGCTGAGAAGAGTCAAGTCTATCAATATTAGTCATCGTACAACGTGGATGTTACTGTGTACAACGCTCTCTTGGTTCTGCTTACTTCACTCAGCATCAGACCATACAAGTCTTTTCAGGTTTTTCTGAAGTCAACCTGTTCATCATTTCTTAGAGCACAATAGTATTCCATTGCATTCATATACCACAACTTGTTCAGCCATTCCCCAATTGATGGGCATCCTCTCAATTTCCAATTCTTGGCTACCACAAAAAGAGCTGCTATAAATATTTTTGTACATGTGGGTCCTTTTTTCCATTTGTATGATCTCTCTGGGATATAGCCCTAGAAGTGCTATTGCTGGGTCAAAGGGTATGCACATTTTTATAGCCCTTTGGGCATAGTTCCAAATTGCTCTCCAAAATGGTTGGATCATTTCACAACTCCACCAACAATGCATTAGTGTTCCAATTTTCCCACATCTTTTCCAACATTTATCTTTTTCCTGTTTTGTCATGTTGGCCAATCTGATAGGTGTGATGTGGCACCTCAGAGTTGTGTTGATTTGCATTTCTCTAATCAATAGTGATTTAGAGCATTTTTTCATATGACTACAGATATCTTTAATTTCTTCATCTGAGAACTGCCTGTTCATATCCTTTGACCATTTATCAATTGGGGAATGGCTTGTATTCTCATGGATTTGACTTTATTCTCGATATATTTTAGAAATAAGGCCTTTATCAGAGAGACTGGTTGTAAAAATTCTTTCCCAATTTTCTACTTTCCTTCTAATCTTGGGTGTATTGGCTTTGTTTGTGCAAAAACTTTTCAATTTAATGTAATCAAAATTATCCATTTTGCTTTTTGTAATGTTCTCTATCTCCTGTTTGGTCATGAATTCTTCTGTTCTCCATAAATCTGATAAGTCAACTATTTCTTGCTCTCCCAATTTGATTACAGTATCAGTCTTTATATCTAAATCATGAACCCATTTGACTTTATTTTGGTACATAGTATGAGATTTTGATCTATGCCTAGTTTCTGCCATACTCTTTTCCAATTTTTCCAGCAGTTTCTGTCAAAGAGTGGGTTCTTATCCCAGAAGCTGGGTCGTTGGGTTTATCAAACAGTAGATTACTACAGTCACTGGCTACTGTATCTTGCATACCTAACCTATTCCACTGATCCACCACTCTATTTCTTGGCCAGTACCAAGCAGTTTTGATGATTGCTGCTTTATAATACAATTTAAGATCTAGAATGGCTAGGCCACCTTCCCCTGCATTTCTTTTCATTAGTTCCCTTGATGTTCTGGACCTTTTGTTATTCCAAATGAACCTTGTTATTATTTTTTCTAACTCTATAAAATAATTTTTTGGTAGTTTGATTGGTATGTCACTGAATAAGTAAAGCAGCTTAGGCAGAATTGTCATTTTTATTATATTAGCTTGGCCTACCAGTAGTCTTCTTTTTGAAAGCCTAGAAAGAATCCATCTACATAAAGAGATTCCTTAATTAAACAAATATTTATTAACCCTACTGTGTACTCAGTACTGTGCTGAATGCTAGAGGAAATAGTGAGCTTTAATAAGACCTGGGTCCCTGTGCTCATGGAGATTACCATTTAGTAGGGGCCTGAGGCATAAACAGATAATTATAAAATAACATCTAAAAACAGTAGAGTTTTAAAAAGAAGAGATAGATGAGGACCATAGTGATTACCTGAACCACCTCTCCTCTCTAGATGAGGAAACTGAGACAAAGAGATGTTTTTGATTACACTGAAATCTCTCGGCTACCTATTGGATTTATTTCCTCTTCACAAAATTTTATTTCTCTATACTGTGGCCAGCAGGCTTGCAAATATAGTAGTTGGTGCAAGCCTGCCAAGCTATGTCAACTGGGAGATTTCCCAGGCTTCGTGGCAGGGAAGGAAGCCTGAGCTTTCCAAAATGTGACATCTCTCCTAGTGAACCCCACAACCTCATAACAATCACCTGAGGGTGTCACACTAAAGAAGAAGGAACAACTGGGCTAAGAAACAAAAAGTCTCTGTTACCTTATCAGGTCTTAAGCAACGAAGCACAATTATCTTTTGCAGCTCATTCAGGTCTGTGTCCAATGGTTTGGGGAAAGGAACCATATGTGGTTCTTTACTGTCATAGATTTCATGCCAGTCTCCAATATTTTTCAGGAAATGTTCCCTAAAAGAAAAGTATTTTCATTGCTATTATTTCCCTTTTATTTGAAAAAGAAATGAATGCAATACAATAAACATTTATGAAATATCTATTCTGTGTATGGCACCATGTTGGGTGCTGGACATACAAAGACAAAAACAGAACCATCCCTGCCTTCTGAGAGCCTGCACTCTACTAAATAAAAGTGAAACAAGATTTTGTTTTGAGAGGGGAGAATCATGGACTCCTACAGGATAATTCTCAAACAGTCATTAACCACTAGCTTCATTCATCTGGTTACTCAACTCTTTGCTCTGAGATATCTTAGCAATTCAGTTACCTGAGATCTTTAAAGGCTGGTAATTCACTGGCCCGGCACAGCTCTTCCCAACTTTTTTCTTGTAGCCAAGTAGGATCAGGGTTCCCCTCAGGGCTCTTAAGGCCAATTCCACCAGTCAAAAGAAACATGAATTCTGTATATTCGATCTCTTTCTTGGCTCTGTATTCCAAAAGCAAGCACCAATCAGGGGAGATGTTGGAAAAGTAGTGAAAACAACATAAAAGTATTCTCACAATTATTGGGGTCAGTAAAATACCCAGGGAAAAGAAAGCCAGGCTACAGGCTTCCCAAGGGAGAAAATGCAGAATGCTTTGGTGAAGATGTCCCTAGGTTTAGATTCTATTTTTCCCATTAAGGTTTGGTTAATTAAGCTAAGGTGGGAGGTAAGGGGTTTGGGGGCAAGGGGGAGGAGTGCCACTCACAAAAGTAGGTTAGCACACAGCAAAAAGGAGAAGAGCAGCTTGTCCTTCTCAAACAGGGACCGACACACATTGCAATATAAGTTATACGTGAAATGGTCATTTAAGTAACGCAGGCGCTTTTCCAAAATCTTGGATCGGTTACTAAAATGATGAAATTAGAGCAAAACAAGAAAAAAATCTAGGTTAAAAAACATTTTAATCATTGAATTTTCAGTGTCACAAGTACACAATGTTATCATTCCATTGAAAAGTGAAATATGATTTCCAATATCTCAATCACTTTGCAAACATGCCTGATTGAATTCTTCCACCCAACTGCAGAGACTGAAATAAGTGAACAGATACGTATTGAATGGAAGGCACCACGAGGAAATGCAAAGAATAAAGAGTCTGGATGGGGAGATGAGACTTGTATGTGAAATGATAACTCATAACAAAGTGATCTACGCACCAACAGAAGAAAGCAAGAGAGGAAAGAGAAGGGAAGGGAAGGAGACACACACACACAGAGAATGACAGACAGAGAGACAAGACTTTCAGGTGGAGTGAAACCCAGGGAAGCCTCCAAGGTGGTGGGATATGAGTTGCATCTCAAAGGATGGGAGGACTTGGATCCATGGAGAGAAAGGGAAAGACGAGGTGCCAAATAGAAGCATGGGCCTGGGGCACAGGAGGCAGTTTGTAGCTCTTCAGCCAAGTGTGGAAGTCCTCAGTATAAAGGCTGTCACTGAAGCCTTGGGTGGTAGCAGCAGCTGAGCTGCTGGCCACGGTGCTGATATAACTGGACTCCACTTACAGGGGTGCAGACGGGGACCAGCACCACCTGGGGCTGCAGCTGAGGGCTGCTCAGAACAGAGAAGCAGCCGTGAGTTCTATGCCTAGCTGGTCATCCTACAGCTGCTCACCCCTCCACTGTCCCCCTCCCCACCCTCACTGCTAAGAGTTCCTTCTGCATGTATAGCTTTAAGGCAGCTCATTATAAATATACCTCTGCAGGACTGTCATTTCTCAATGGCAGGTATCCTCTCCTGGCCAGGCACAGTGGCCACAAGTACCGGGTTCAGGTGAGTATATGCTGATTTGAAAAAGGTCTGAAGGTCTGAGTGGACTACAAGCTCACTATGAGTAAACAGTGTGATACAGAAGCCAAAAAAAGAGAATGTGATCTTTGACTTCATTAAGAGAGGCCAAATATCCAGGAATACAGAAGTGATAGCCCTGCTCTACTCTGCCCTACTCAGGCCACACTGGGAGTATGACATTTAATTCTGGGCATCTCATTTTAAGAAAAGATGATGGACAGCTAGGTGGCACAGAGGATAGAGCACCGGCCCTGGAGTCAGGAGGACCTGAGTTCAAATCCAGTCTCAGACCAGACACTTGATACTTACTAGCTGTGTGACCCTGGGCAAGTCACTTAACCCCAATTGCCTCACCAAAAAAAAAGTCATAGAATCATAGCTTTAGAGGCCATCAAATCCAAGGCGCTCATTTTACAGCTGAGGAAACTGAGGAAAATAGAGGTTAACTGAGTTGCCCAAGGTCACACAGCTAGTAAGTGTCTGAGGCAGGATTAGAACTCAGGTCTTCCTGACTCCAGCATCAGATGCCTCTAGGACCCGGTGTTCATGTCATATGAAGAGTATTTGCCCTGGAAAAGAGATGTCTTCAAGAGATGTGGCATGGCTCTGCTTGGCCCCAAAGGTAGAATTAGGAGCAATGGGAGAATGTGCAAAGAGTCCAATTTACACACGACATCATGAAAATTATTTCTAATAAGAGCTGTCCCCAAATGGAAAGGGCTGCCTTGAAAGATAGTGAGCTCCCCGTCACTGGAAGGCTACCAGCAAAGGTTAGATGAGTTCTTGTCGGTCGTGCTGTAAAGAGAATTCTCTTGTAGGTGCCAACTGGATTAGATTAGAGGTCTAAGAACTTGGACGGGAAAAAATTACATCTTTATTTTCATGAACCTCTAACAGAAACCTAGCATTTCTTCCATTATGAATGTAGGCAAGAGACATCGTTCTGAGAAGGTGTGCATAGGCTCCACCAGATGAGCAAAGGCGTCCATGACAAGCTTAAGAACTCCTGCATTAGAAGGCTCCTGGGGTCCCCTCCGACGGTGAAATGCTAGGATTCTGTGGGCCTGGCAGAGCAGGTTTACACACTGGGGCCCCACTGGGCTGCATGGATCGTGTATGTGTGGAGGGGTTAGATGGAAGAAAGCCTCATAGTAGCCTGGCCAGCTGGGCCTCTGGAAGGATCAATGACCTGGGGCAGAAGCTGGCTCCCAAGCCAATCTATCCCCCTGCAGCAGAGAGGAAAACTGCCGCCATAATGAGAACAGATGAGGCCTACGAGGGACAGGGCAGAGAGAGAAGCAAAATCGGGAGGCCTTGGGTAATGGCCACGTTGGGAGATCAGAAGGGAGGGAAGACACAAAGGAGCAGTCCGAGGGAAGGAGAAACTGAACAGTCCGCACCAGCAGCTGCAAACAGGAAAAGAGGGAAGCTCTACCGGAAAGGATAAGTGGAGGGAAGCATGAAGCTCACCTATCATGAATCGAGTTGACGTAAAGGTTAACGAACCAGCTGAGGGAATACTGGTACATGGGATCGATGTTGGCCAGGTCTGCGATGCTGAAGAATAACACCGAGGAATGCTTCGCGATGGGCCGATAGCCTTCTCTCGACTCCGCTATTTTGATTTCTGTTTTTTCTGCAATCTATGAAAGTGAGAGAAATCGAGAACGGAAGAGGGCTTATATTCAATTTCTGGAACAATCTTTTCAAGTAAGGTAATTTATATTTTTTAGAGGTACATCCCAACATAATGACAATAATACCAGAATCCATACAGATAGAGATTATGTGTGTGTGTGTGTGTGTGTGTGTGTATACATATACATACAGACATATATATATATATATTTGTTGTGAGGCAATCGGGATTAAGTGACTTGTCCAGGGTCACACAGCTAGTAAGTGTCAAGTGTCTGAGGCCAGATTTGAACTCAGGTCCTCCTGACTCCAGGGCTGATGCTTTATCCACTGAGCCACCTAACTGCCCTGAGATTCTAATTTTTTTTAAAGCCCATCCCTTGCTCAATTTTCCAGAAACAAAAAAAGGCCTAACAGACTGAGGTTTGTGCCTCACATATGATCGCTTTCCAGTTCAGGAGCACTAGGAGACAGAGACATACAATGGAAAGAACAATGGCTCTCGGTGGAGAGGCAGCCTGTGGTTGTGGATAGAAGACCTGGGTTCAAATCCTGCCTTGGACACTTGCTGCCTGTGTGGCCCTGGGCAAGTCCCTTACTCTCCCTGAGCCTCAGTTTCCCCCTCTGTAAAAGGTTGGGCTTATGGTCTTTTCCAGTGCGAAATCATGATCCAGGACCCTGTGACATGAGTTCCTGTGCTTCCTCGGACACTTACTACCTGTGTGGCCTTGGGAAAATCACTTCACCCCCCTGGGCTTTGGCTTCCCCAAATGAAAGCGTTGGACAAAACGACCTGCGGTCCTGTCCAGCTCTAAATCTATGATGGATGAACTAGAGCATACTCTCTGTCCCCTGATCCTGCCGTCTCATGAACCTTTATAACCCTTTGTTTGTGCAGTGACAGAGCGCCGGGCCTGGAGACAGGAAGACCTGAGCTCAAATCTGGCCTCAGACAACTCCTGGCTGAGTGACCCTGGGCAAACTTTTGTTTGCCTCAGTTTCCTCATCTGTGAAATGGGGATAATACCACCTACCTCCCAGAGGCAAAGCTCTTGGAACAGTGCTTAGCCCATCATAAGTGCAATATAAATGTTAGCTATTAACTATTACAATTATCATCATTATTATTATTTGGGTGGATCAAAGGTTTGAAGTTCTTACCTATTCTTTTTTAAATATGCTTGTTTGACTCATGGTTGTCAAGAGTAACTTTTTCCTCCCATTCTTACAATTAATACAATAAGCTGGGTAAGAATTATAAGTACTTAGTTAGGAAAAGTTTAAGAACTTTCCCAAAATCACCAAATTTCAGAGTCATAGGGGACTTTGGAGATTATACCTTTATTTAGAGCTAGCAGGATCAACCCCAACCCCTTCATTCCCCAGATAAGGAAACACTGGCACAAAGTGGTTAATTGACTTCCCCAGGATCATATAACTAGTATCTAAGGTAGGATTTGAACTCAAGTCTTCCTGACTCTAAATTCAATGTTTTTTGCACTGTCTATGCTAATCTAACCCATACATGAACATAAATGCCTTCTATAGCACCCCCAGCACCCCAAGGCAGGTTGTTCCAATCTAGAACAGTTCTAATTTTCAGAAAGCTTTTCCTTAGCTGAAATCTGCAAAATCATAGTAATAGTGATAATAACTGCTGACACTCATATAGTGTTGACTATGTGTGAGGCCCTGTGCTAAGTGCTTTACAAATATTATCTCATTTGTTCTTCATACTTCCTACCTGGGAGGTAGGTGCACACATTTAGCACACATTTTACAGATGAGAAAATGAGGCAGGCAGACAAAGGTTAAGTGACTTACCCAGGGTCACGCAGCTACTATGTGTCAAAAGCAAAATCTGAACCCCGGTTTTCCTGACTCCAAGGCCAGCCCTCTATCCGTTACACCGTGCTGACTTCTAATTTCTCAGATCTTACGGAAGCCTTTTTTTGTCTGTTTAATCATTTGCTCGTTTGTTTCTGGTTTTACCTGCTGTTTCTTTAAGATCTCATTGGACATGAGTTTTGCGGAATCTAAGACTTTGATTGCACTTTCATCCTCCAAAATGTTCCCTTCCGAGGATGAAAGAGTTTCCAGAATCTTGCTCTCTATGTCGCGCAGCTGTTTCTTGTTGGCAGCAGACTGGAGAATCAGAGCATTTCTCTCTTCTTCTAATTCTGGTCTAACAAAGGGAAGCATCTTTTGTAGGAAGTTGGTTCTCTAGCCGTCAAACACGCATTCTGTCACAACTTTCATAACTTAGAGGATTAAGGAAATGTAATAAAGGGAAAACCCATCTGGAGAAGATGGCAGATTGGAGGCAACCCAGCTGAGCTCTTTCAACATTCCCCCCAAACAACTTTAAAACAATGCCTCAGATCATATTTTGGAGCAGCCAACAAATGTAAGGGTGAGACATTTTCCCAACCTGAGAAAATTTAGGAGGTTGACAGGAGGAGCTTGTAACCCCAGGGCAGAGGCCTGCCCAGAGCACGAATATACAGCAGCAGCAGCAGCAGCAGGAGCTCTCAGACCAGAGACAGTAAGGGGGCCAGATAACTGGGTAGAAAGAAATTGGGGGGCCCCTTTGCTGGCACTGGCACTGATTGGCAACTCTAGTGCTCATATGCAGTTCTGGGGTGGAGAGGAGTGCTGGGGGTCAGTCACAAGGGAGCAGGGGCCCTGGTCATGAGCACTAGCACTTGTGGCTGTAGGGGACCAGATACCCTTCCTTGGTAAAGACCAGAGTGTAAACCAGGAGAGTAGTGACCACACCTTCCCCAGTATCACACCACCCTGGAAGCACAAAAACTTGCAGACTCCCAGAACCAGCTAGCTCTGAAAATAGCAGCACAAAAAATGCCTAAAGCTTGGGACAGTGCCTCCCTACACCCAGAGCAGCAGAGCCCAACTTTAACATAAAGATCAACGTCAAGAAATTGGGAAAATGAGCAAATAACAACAACAACAAAAAGAATTTGACCATAAATAGCTACTTTGATGGCAGGGAAGACCAAGATATAAATTCAGAAAAAGACAGCTACAAACAAAGCTTCAAAGAAAATGCTAATGGGATCCAAGCCCAACAAGAATTCATGAAAGTGTTAAAGAAAGAGATAAGAGTGGTAGAGGAAAAATTTGGAGAAAAAATGAGAGCAATACAAGAAAATCATGAAAAGAGAATTAACAGCTTGGTAAAAGAGGTATAAAAAATACAGAAGAAAATAACACCTTAAAAATAGAATTGGCTAAATGAAGGAAGAGGTACAAAGCTCACCAAAGAAAGTAATTCCTTAAAAATTAGAATCGGGCAAGTGGAAGCTAATAACAACATGAGACATCAAGAAACAATAAAACAAAGTGAAAATAATGAAAAAAAAAGAAGAAACATGAAATATGTCATCAGAAAAACAACTGACCTAGAAAATAGATCAAGGAGAGATAACTTAAGAATTATGGGCTGCCTGAAAGTCACAACCAAAGACAGAGCATAGACATCATATTTCAAGAAATTATCAAGGAAAACTGCCCCAATATGTTAGACCCAGAGGGCAAAACTGAAATTGAAAGAATCTACCAATTACCTTCTGAAAGAGATCCCAAATGAAAACTCTCAGGAATATCGTGGCCAAATTCCAGAGTTCTCAGGTCAAAGATAAAATACTTCAAGAAGCCAGAAAGAAACCATTCAAATCAGTCAGGATCACACAAGATTTAGCAGCTTCCATATTAAAGAAGCAGAGGGCTTGGAATGTGATATTCCAGAAGGCAAAGAAGCTAGGATTACAACCAAGAATAATACACCCAGCAAAAATAGGTATAATCCTTCAGAGGGAGAAAATGAACATTTAATGAAAGAGAGGACTTTCAAAGATTCCTGATGAAAAGACCAGAGCTGAACAGAAAATTTGACATTCAAACACAAGATTCGAGAAGCACAAAAAGGTTAACATGAAAGGGTAATCAAAAAGGTCTTAATAAAGTTAAATTTTTTACATTCCTATATGAGAAGATGATACACTATAACCCCTAAGAACTTTATCATCGTTAGGGCAGTTAAAAGGAGTTTACATAAGCAGAGGGCATGAGTGTGAGTTGATTATGTTGGAATGATCTCCAAAAAAATGAAGGGGTGAAAAGAGGGATGTACTGGGAGAAAGGAGCAGGGAGAAGTAGAATGGGGAAATTTTCTCACATAAAAGAGGGACATTAGGAAGAGGTTTTACAACGCAGGGGGAAATGTGGAGAGGGGTGGGTAATGCTTGAATCTCACTCTCATCAGAATTGGTTCAAAGAGGGAAGAACACACATACATATTCAGTTAGGTATAGAAATCTGTCTTACCCAATAGGGAAATAGGAAGGGAGGGGGATAAGAGAAAGTATGGGGAATGACAAAAGGAAGGACAGATTAAGGGAGGGAATGATTAGAAGCAAAATAGATTTTTGAGGAAGGACAAGATAAAAGAGAGAAGAAGTAATAGAAGAAAGTAGGACAGAGGGAAAGACATGGTAATCATAACTGTGAATACGAATGAGATGAGCTCACCCCTAAAACAGAAGCTGATAGCATAATGGATTAGAAAACAGAATCCAACAATATGTTGTTTATAAAAGACACACTTAAAACAGAAAGACACACACAAAGTTAGAAATAAAGGGTTGAAGCAGAATCTCTTATGCTTCAGCTGAACTAAAAAAAAAAGGCAGGGGTAGCAATCATGATCCCTGACAAAGCAAAAGCAAAAATAGATCTAATTAAAAGGGATAATCAAGGGAACTATATTTTGCTAAAAGGTACCATAGACAATGAAATAATATCAAAAATTTTTACATCAAGTTTCTCTGATAAAGGCCTCATTTCTCAAACATGCAGAGAATTGTCAAATTTATAAAAACAAGGCCCATTCCCCAATTGATAAATGGTCAAAGGATATAAACAGGCAGTTTTCAAAAGAAATCAAAGTTATCTATAGTTATATGAAAAAAATGTTCTAAATCCCTATTGATTAGAGAAAGGCAAATTAAAACAATTCTAGGTACCACCTCACACCTCTCAGAAACGACAAATGCTAGAGGGGATGCAGAAAAATAGGTACACTAATGAATTGTTGGTGGAGTATTGAACTGGTCCAACCATTCCAGAAAACAATTTGGAACTATGCACATTTGTAGAAGCTCTTTTTGTAATGTTGAAGAATTGGAAATCCAGGGGATGCTCATCCACTGGGTAATGGCTGAACAAGTTGTAGTATATGATTGTGATGGAGTACTACTGTGCTATGGGAAATGACAAGGAGTTAGGGGTAGTTTCAGAAAAACACGGCAAGACCTACATAAACTGATGCACAGTGAAGTGAGAAGAACCGGGAGATCATTGTGTACAGTAACAACAATGTTGTAATGATGATCAACTATGAAAGAGTTGGCTGCTCAGATCAAGACAATGATTCAAGACAGTTCCAAAGGACCCATGACGAAAAACGCTATCCACCTCCAGAGAGAGAACTGACAAACTCTGAGTGCTGACTGAAGCAGCCTTTTTTTCACTTTGTTTTCCTTGCTTATTTTGCTAACACGGCTAATGTGGAAATAGGTTTTGGATGATTTCACATGTATAATTGATATGATATAGCTTGCCTTCTTAAGGGGTGGGAGAGAGACTCAAGGAAGGGAGAGAATTAGGAGCTCAAAACGTTTTTTTTTTAATTAATGCTAAAAATAAACAATAGGTTTGGGTTTTAAAAATAAAATAAATGTCACAGGTGATGACAGGTTCCAATCTACCCTAGTAGTCTATCCTACAGTATCATAAATATTACACAAAAAAGTTTTTTTTTTTTCCATTGCTAAACAAATTCGCCACTCTTCCATTTTAAGCTCCTAAACTCTCATTCTGCTGTCAGTGGGAACAGCTCTAGGCAGCCTTCTGTTATATACTGCTCAAGACAGAGAACACTCACATAAAAGCTCACTGGTGTTTTAGATGATACATATATTCAGTCATGTCAAGGACCAAACTATGTTTCCTAAAACACACCAATAGAGAGTGAAAGCCTAACAGGGTTAACACCTGTATTAGCTATTAAAGAATAACTTCTGTAAAGGATACAGAAACTATGTAAATTATGCAAAAATACAAAATATGACATAACTACCCCAAAATGCATAGCTGGTGTTTAATGGCCTTCAATGACCTTGCTAGAATTTACAACCTCTCTGGCTACATCTAAGAAAGCACCTACCTCTCCTTTGCGACCACAATACCCAACAATTGGTCTTCAAGTCCTTCTGGTGTTATCATGAAATTGAGCAGAGAAACCTTGGTGGCCAGCTCAGGCATATAGTGTGGATTTCTCAGCTTTGTGGTGATGTAGAATTTGAAATCAAAGGAATACTCAATAATGACTTCCCCGAGCCTGATGCAATCAATGCCTCCTGATGTTTAAAAAAATAAACAAAACAAACCAAAACAAAAAAACAAAACAAAACAAAAAAAAAAAAACCAGATCAAACTGGGTGGCGTGGCTCTCCTTCCTTGAAAGCCCTTATTGGTGTTTCTCTAATGACTCTAAACTGCATTTAATGGCTAACAAAGATGAAGACTGAGTTTAATAATCAGAGAAAATAAGGTTGGATCAATCAACCAACAAATATGTATTAAGAACCTACTATGTGCCAAGCACTTTGCTAGGCACTAGGGGACAGAGCAAGGATGAAGTTGAACAGAATGGCTCATTCTGGAGATGGACATCCTTTTGGTGACCTTTTTTGACCCCTCTAGATCACATTTTTCAGGAATTTTCCTTCTTTCCTTTTATCCCCAACCAGAAATCCAAATCATTTGCAGAAGATACTTAAAGATGGTAGATACACTAGACTTTGACAGTGAAGACTGTCCTGCTTGACTGGGAAGGACACAGAGAAAAGGAAAGGCCAACCCAACCAGGACCCCAACTTAACCCTGCTGTTTATACCTTGGGATTCTTTGTGTTTCCTAAACATATGTTACCCTTGACTCCCTATCCCATGTCTAATCAAATGGGTAAGCCATCCAAGACCGCAGCAATAAACGAAGCAGTGCCTGGTCTTTCCTCCCCCGTTCCTACTGGTTAGTCCCAAACTTTCATTCACAAGTGACAATCAGACATCCACCCCTTCAGAGCTGGTAATGTCAAAGACCTGTGATTTCACCAGTGTGTGAATTTGCTTCACAACAATCTATCAATAACTTATAGTCTTAGGGAGTTACCTGAGCCTCAAAAGGGACATGAAGTCACAAGGTACAGGCCCTCCTATCCCCTGACACCGCTGCAATAGCCAGCAGGGTGTTGGCTGGTCTCTCCACCCTTACCGTCAAAGAGATCTTCCTGAAGAGCGGTTCTGAACACGTCACTCCCCTACTCAGTAAATTACAGTGCATTCCCAGCACCTTCAGGATTAAATAAAAAATCCTTTGCTTCCTCCTCCCCTCTGACTACTGACCTCTCCGGCTTCCTTTAAGTCCCAACTAAAATCCCACCTCCTACAGGAAGCCTTCCCCAACCTCTCTTAGTTCAAATGCCTTCCCTCTATTGATTATTTTCTATTTATCCTGAATGGAGCTTGTTGGCACACATCTGTTTGCACATTGTCTCCCCCATTAAACTGTAAGCTCCTTGAGGGCAGGGACTGTCTTTAGCCTTTTTTTGTGTCACTGGCACTTAGTATAGCATCTGGCACACTATATAGTAATAGGTGCTTAATAAACATTTATTGAATTGAACTGAAATTGAATCATAGGCACTAGGGATGTAGCTAACTAATAATAAATAAATTAAACCACTCCTGTTCTCTAGGAGGTTACATTCCATCATGGCAGAAAACTTGTCCACATGTATTTTTTGTTGTTGTTATAAAGTCATTTCAGTCACGTCTGACTCTTCATGAACCTGTCCATGGGGTTTTCTTGGCAAAGATATTGGAGTGGTTTGCCATTTTCTTCTCCTGCTCATTTTATAGATAAGGGAACTGAGGCAAGCAGAAGTTAAGTGACTTGCTCAGGGTCACATGGTTAGGAAGTTTTTGAGGCTGGATTTGAACTCAGGTCTTCCTGACTCCAAGCCCAGCACTCTATCCACTGTGCCACCTAGCTTCCCCTATATATAAACAGAGACTATACGCAAGGTAGTTTGGGGGGAGGGCACTACCATTAGGGAGTGGAGGGTGGGGTTAAGAAAGGGCTTTATATAGAAGGTGGTACTTTAGCTGAGTCTTTAAGGAAATGAAAAATTACATGAGGTGCAGGTAGGAATAAGAGTACTGCAGGAACGGGGAGTAACTAGCATCATGGAGGGCCACATGTATGGAAGAGCAAGCAGGCCAATTGTTCTGGACCTTAGAGTATAGGAAGGGGACAGACCGGCACTAGAATTCAGAGAACTACTTCCTTTCATTCTGCAAAGACAACTTGGCTTAGTAATTATTAGTTTTTCTAAGTCAACAGTTTTCAAATGGCCAAATGAGAGTGTGTATATAAACCTTAAGAATATAAAGACGTGAGTACTACTGCTACTATTGCCACTACGATTTTCCTTTTTCACCTTGTTTAAACGTTTGTCTAAGCAGTAAGGGCTCCAAAGAAGGATCTAACTCTTCTCCAACATCTTCTAAAAGAAGCGGGGTACCAAATTGAATGCAATTTTCCAATGTCCTCATGTAGTCTGAATTTGAGAGTTTAATCATGCTTAGTTGGTTTTCCTTCTCAGAGTTCTTAATCCACTTGTTGGCTTGACCCTGGGGATCAATCATTAGAGGCCTGAAACAGACAAGGAAGAAAAGTAAAGAGGGACTAAAATTTAAATTGCTTTGTAATTTGGGTGTTGCTGAGATAACCTACTCTCAGACATAGACTAAGTACTGGTTCAACTAAAGAGACAAAAGACAGAGAGGAAAGGTTTGTAAAACACATCACAGCTAAAAATATGAATTTAAAAGTAACATGATGGGAAATATTTGGGAGGCAAGGAGGGATAACAACAAAAAGAGGTCTCTCTTGTTTGTATTTTCCTCTGAGGCAAAAATCACAAATTCAATGAAAATTTACTTGGGTTTTAATTGAGAAGGCCTACAGTTGAGATCTATGTAGGAATTTAAAACACACCTTTAAAAGGAATGGAAGACAGAGCCAATAAAGCAGCGCTAAAGTCTTGTGACAAAAATGCCAAGAATTCCAACCTTTCCACCATATTTGAAGATCTTCTAGGACTAGGGCAATGGGGTAGAGTGCCTGGGCCCCTGGGGGTTGAAGTCTTCTGCTAAGGGGGCCAACCAAGTCTTTGGTCCTCACATAGATCAGTTATCTTGATTCTATCCACTGCTACCACCCACAAGATAGGCTCCAGACCCCATCTCATTTATGACATTACAAATACATGCCATTGGCCCCAGTAAAAATATAACAGCTAACATTTATAGAGGATTTCAGTGTTTGGTAAAGGCTTTACCTGAGAGGCACAGATGATGTTTTCATTTCTGCTACTAACTGGAGAAAGGAGCTCCAGAAGAGAAAGACAGATCTGAGAAGTGAACAAGCAGTGGTGAAGATAGCGTTTGAGAAGTGGGATTAGATTTCTGCACCATGGCCCTGAAACACAGGAATGACAGGCTCCCGGCCAGGGATGGGGTATACCTAAGAAGGCCTGGTAAGAATGTATTTGTTTGAAGTCTTAATAATCCAATTAAAAGTATATTCAACCGAGGAAGAAGGAGAGAGAAAAGATAAGTTCACCAAGCTAGATCTCACACATACCATAGCTACAGTGCAGAAAGAAGAAAAGTCAGCAGCAACACCCACCCATTCATGGGAGACAGCACACAAGAAACATCACAACCCAAACATTTACATACCAAACAAAGCACTGGTAACAGGGAAGATACCTAGAGCACACTTCTTTCTTTAGGAGGTTATTAAAGTTTCTCAACATCCTATGTGATGGTGATTTTTGCTGTAAACATCCTTCATTTACAAAAACCATCTGGATGAAAGGACTACTTTTCTAAGGAAAGCATTTTCCTGAATGTGTCCCAGGGTCATAAATTCCATGAAAACACTGCAGATCATCTGGTTACATCACCCCTATCCTACCACAAGAGGGAGAATGGTAGAGTGAATGGACAGAGGAGCCAGCCATAGACTCTGGATACCCTGATTTCAAGCCTTGCCTCTGACCCAAAATGGCTCTGGGACCCTGGATAAGTCACCAATCTCGTCCTCCGGGCAACTTTCTCAGGCTACAGCTGCAGAAGGTTGCCAATCAGCATTGGCAGAAGGTATCTGCACGTCTGGAGTTGCCAAGGTGATGAAATCACATACCAGCACCAAAAATTCAATCATATCTGACATTGACATGTTAGGGAAAAGGTCTGGAGAAAAAAATGCCATATTCTTTAGAAACTAGGATTAAATATGTGAGAAGAGTCACCATTTCACTAGTCCTTACCAACGCCTGGAATTGCTAACAATCACACCATTGTCTATAGAGAACGCATCCGTTGGTAATCCAGCAATATTCCAGGCTCTAATCTTGACTGGATCTCCCAGAGTCTTACTCAGGGAGAAATCATCGGAGCAAGGGATTTCTTTTTCCTGTAAGAAATACAAGGTAATATACAGTTCTGATTTCTTTCCTGTTGCAGTTGGAAAGTTTAATTACAGTATCAACTTGGTCCTCCAAATTTGCAGTTATACAGAGTCACATTTTGGCCTGCATATGATACTGGTGTCTAGAAACCTATGCCAGACAAAAATAATCTTTGGCAGGTCCCACCAAGCTGAAAGGTTTGGGCCCTGGATCTGAGGACACCTGTCATCTCAGGACCAGCTTCAGTGGCTAGAGAGGCTTAACACTAAAAGGCTGGCCAAAGGCAATGACTAATTTTGGCTATCATAACTCACAAAGACTACCTTATAGGGTGTGGGGGAGTTGTGAGTTGGAAAGGACCTCAGAAATCATCTCATGCAACCCAGTCATTTTGCAAAGAGGAAACTGAGGCCAATGAAGGTGATGTAACTGGTCATAGGTCATGCAACTAGAAAATGGCAGAGCCCAGGATTTAAACCCAAATCTTCTGACTCCAAAGCCAGTGCTTTCCTCCCTGTACCCCAAAATGCCTACACTGATGAAATCAAGGATCTTCTGAAATACTGATAGATCATTTTAATTACCATTAGCAAGTATTAGCATTTAATAATACTCAAATATTATTACATGCGCAAATATTCCAATGGATCTGTGGTCTCATTGATGTGGGCATTCCCTTCAGTGACGCAAATGGCAACCCATCCTTGTCTGTCCTACTGTAGCCCATGACCTTTCAAGAGCTCACCCAGAGGGTCCAACAAACAAGCCGGCTGCCTTCATCAAGCTCACTGTCCATTCTTCATGATGTAATGGAAAGAGCCATTGGCTTCTAATCCCACCTCTAACTTTATTAGCTCTGTGACCTTGAGCAAGTCCCCAAATCTCACTAGGCCTCAAATTCCTCAGTGGTAGCAGGTGGAGATCAGATGAGACAACTCCTAAGGTCCATTCCAGATCAAAATGGATGACGTCATGATCATTGCTACCTGGCCAGCCCTTCTTTTCTCCTTTCATACATTTTCCTGATAAGATCTTGTAACCCTATTCCATTAATAACTCCTAAATAAATAGATAAATAAATAAATGAACAAATAAATAAAAGATGGATGGATGAATAGATGGATAAATGAATTAATGAATATATAAATGAACAAAAACTAAGATTAAAAGGACCCAAATGAAAACTTGAGTTTGTAAAGGAAAATGATTTTTTTTAGTAACTTCAGTATTTCTATCATCCAGATAGCATCCTTTCCCCACAAAATGTCTAAAAAACTAGGCAACAATGCTCCAATGAGGTAAAAGACAGAAATAAATGTCCTATCTATACCAAAATTATATTAAAATATTCACAGAATATTTTGTGAGGGTAAAAACAAAACTAGAAACCAAGTGGGTGCTTATCCAACAGGAAGCGGCCGAACCTCTTGTGGAATATGTATGTGGTTGCTGTTCAGTTGTTTTTCAGTCCTAGCTAATTCTTTGTGACCTCATTTGGGATTTTCTTGGCAAAGATACTGGAGTGGTTTGCCATTTCCTTCTCCAGCTCATTTTACAGATGAGGAAACTGAGGCAAACAAGGTTGAGTGACTTGTCCAGCATCACACAGCTAGTAAGCGTCAGACTGGATTTGACCTTAGGAAGATAAGTCTTCCTTACTCCAGGTCCAGTGCTCTAAGCACTATGGCGCCACCTCAATGCCTGGGAATACATTGGTAGATGTAAGTAACAGAATATTATTGTGCCGTAAATGACATATATGAGGAAGTCAGAGAAATATGGGAAGATTTGTTTCAACTGATACAGAGCAAAAAAAAAGAAAGAAAGAAAAAGCAGAACTAAGCTACTTACAATGACTACCAAAACAGAAATGAAAACACTAGAAGGCAGCTATCATAATAAATGCACTGAGCAACCTTGGTCTCAGAGAACAGAAGTGGGGAAGTGAGGGACAAGGAGGGGAATGGCGTGGGCTGTCGGTCAGGTTGCTGAGCTTTTATAAGATTGTTCCAAAGGAAGACTTAGCATCAGCAGAAGCTTTGGGGCTGGGGGAGAGGAAGTGGGATGTAGAGAACATTCACAAGATTTTAAATAAAAAAGAAAGTGCCATGTGCTCAGTGACAAAAGGAGCATCTGAATCTTTTGAGACAAAATCCACAAAGGATCCGTCCATTACCTTACACAACCTACTCCAGTCCTTCGTGCAATCATGTCGGAAGCCTGCAGTGAAAGCACCCAGGTAGGCAATGACTCCTGCTGATATCAAAACATCTCCTGTCAGGTTGTCGTAAGTGTTTTGAAGGTCATCTGCTGCATGAGACCATCTGTGAGCAACCAAAGACAAAATAAAGGCTGGCAACAGGAAACATCAGCCAAGCATGGACTGAGCAAAGGCCTAAGGGTACCCTGGAAAGAGCCCTGGGGCCATAAGGTCTCTAATCTCATCTCTGTCCCTGATGAGCTTTGCCATCTTAAGCAAATCACTTAGAATCTCTGGGTCTCAGCTTTATCTTTAAAATGAATGGAGGGAGGATCCCCAAAATACCCTCTAGCTCAAAAATTAAGACAAATAGAGGACAATTCCTACATCTGATTACCAGAATACCATATACTTAATCCAAGATTTCCTAATCCTTCAAAACCACAACAGCAACAAAATACCCCAGAAAAGCATTTTGCAGGGTAACCTTCCCCAGATTCTCCAGCTATTTGGATATCCCCCCCCAAAATGCTAAAATAATTACAAAACCATCTAAGTTATATTATGCCTTACTGTCAAAGACCCAGGGAAATCAGGGAGCATTACGGGAAGAGTGTTGAGTGTGGAAGCGTTAGACATTTGTTCAAATCCAGGCTCAGCCACTTAGTATTCGCGACCCTGGACAGGTCACTTAACCTTACTGGGCCTCAGTTTCTTCATCTGTAAAAACAATGAGGCTAGACTAGATGATACCTATCGTATTTTCTGACTTGAGCTCTATGGTCTCATGATTTTACAGTAAAATTTGACAAATATTGACTGTGCGTCTGCTGTGTACAAGGCCCTGGCATATGGTGACATAAGGAAAATAACTTCTTTTGAATGAATAATTCCAATGCATGAACCCCAAATTCCAAGGTTGGCAAGATACCTAAAAAACATAATCAAAAATGACCCAAAAAAGAGGTGCTGTTGACAGACATTCTTAATGATATTACTTGTAACTGCAAAACAAACTAGAAACAAATGTCTTACAATCGGAGACTAGTTAACTAAATTTCAGGACATTAAAGTATCAGCTGATCTCTTAGCAAGCATCCATAATGCAGCTACTTTAAGCACACTGCCTAGGAGTGGCTGGGCATTCAAAGACAAACGTGAACAAATCCAAAGTCAACAGAAGATGATGCGGGGAGAAAGGCATTGGCATCTATGGGGATTCTGAAAGATGGAGGTCAAGAAGGAGTCTGTGCCAGGCCTGGGAGGGCAGCCAATGCAAAGGCAGGAGATGGAGTGTTCTGTTTGACAAGCATCCAGAAGGCCAGTGGGACTGGACTTCAGCATTCTTGGAGAGGAATGAGTACAATAAGAGGGGAAAGAGAGGTTGGGTCCAGGTCCTGAAGGGCTTAAAATGCCAAACAGAGGAAGCCACTAGAGTTAGTTAGTAGGAGAGAGGCATGGTCTGATTCATACTCTAGGAAAATCAGTTTGGCATATATGTGAAATACAAATGCAAGAGGGGAGGGAGGCAGGCAGGGAGGCAGAGAGACCAGGTAGAAGCCTATTGGAAGAAAGGTCTGAACTATAGTGATGATTGTGTGAAGGCCAAGCCACTGATTGGACAGATGTGACAACAGCAGAAATGATATGTAGCGCGTGTAGTTGAAGACGTAGTTGGGGTGACTGGAAAGATGGTAGTGCCCTCAACAGAAATGATTGGAAGAAAGAAGAGGGGTGAGTCTGGAGTTTAGAATGGGGAAGGGAGAGAAACCAAGTTCAACATTAGACATGTTGAGTTGGGGATACCTACGGGACATCCAGTGACAGTGTGGGCCTGGAGCTAACGTATAGAGCTGGCTGTCAGCAGCAGAATGCTGAGGAGCTGCTGAGGTCACCAAGAGAGGGTATAGAGAAAGAAGAGGACAGAGGACAGAGCCTGGGGGGACACACGCATGGTAGACGATGCTCCAGCAAAGGAGACAAAGAAGGAATTATCACATAGCAGAAGAACCAAGACAGAGAAATTTCATGAAAACCCAGAGTGGAGAGAGAATGGAGAAGAGGGGGTTTTACAGTGTCAGATTCTGGGGAGAAATGACGTCAAATAAGGCCTGAGAAAAGGCCATGGACTTGGCAATTAAGGATTTTCCCAACTGTTCCTTTCCCCTAAGGCCCCACCACCACCAGTGCCTTCCCTCTGAGACTGCCGTCCACTCAGGAGTGTGCTGGCTTAACAACTGGATTTGGCAGGAGGGGGAGTTTATAAGAAACATTTAAGTTTTAAGTTTACTAACATTTTCCACATCACCTTCTTATGGGTAGACAATAAAAAAAAAAAACCCCACAACAAATCAAGCCTTGATTTGTGGCATTTGCCAATTTTCAAGGCGTAAATGCTAATGGTGAAAAATTAAGAATCGTTAATTAGCAAATTAACAATGAACCTTCCTGTAAGCCAGTTTGAACGGGTTCCAGCACAGTCCGTTCCCATTTATCCTTGTTTGTGCATAGCAGTTGTGTCTGCCATTAAAGAGTGAGCTCCTGGAGGGCAGGACTGTGCATTATGTTTTTTGCTTTTCTTTGTATTCCTCATCATTTAGCACAATGCCTGGCACACAACAAACACTTAATAAATGCTCTGTTGATTAACTGATGATTTTGGAAAGTCAGTTCGGGTAAGTGATGAAGTCAGAAGTCAGATTGTGGACAGTTTAGAAGACAGTGAGAGGAAAAGGAGAAACAACAGAAGTAGATAATTTTTTTAAGGGGTTTGGCTGAGAAAGAGAAGAGGACAGCAGAGCGTTTTAGGGGATGAAGGGATCCAGTGAAGATGTTTAGAGGATGGGGAGACCTGGACGTGCCTGCAAACAACAAAAAAAGAACCAGCTGATTGGGAAAGATCAAAGGTTAGGAAAGGTGGGGATGGTCATGGTAGCAACCACTTGGGGAAGACCAGAAGAAACAGGCTCAACAATACATGTAAAAGGGTTGGCCTTGGAGAGGAAAAGGCCATCTCTTCATCAGAGAATTCAGTAAAGGAAAAGAGACTGAGGAATGATGTCAAAGGGTTTTGAGGGGAAGCCAATGGGGAAAGGGATGCTCACAAGAGTCTTATTTTTGGTTTGTTTCTGGCATTGGGGCTTCAGTTTCCTATTCTAGAAAAATGAGACCACCATCACAAGGAATACTTCTTCCTCAGGAAGATGATGGAACTGACCCACAATCAATAGAACGTATATTCTAAATTAGTATTATGGTGGTAAGAATGAAATCAACTCTCAGACTGGTTCTCTTGAGAAAAGAGGCAGCTAGGTGGGCAGTGGATAATGTGTTAGACTTTGACTCTTACCTATAATAATACTAATAGCTAACATTCATATAGTGCTTACCATGTACCAGGCACTGCACTAAGTCCTTTACAAATATTATCTTATTTGATCCTCACAACAACCCTGATACTGTTATTATCTCTATTATAGATAAGGAAACTGAGGGAGACAGAGATTAAGTGACTTGCCCAAGGTCACGCAGCTAGTAAGTGTCTGAGAGTAGATCTGAACTCAGGTATTCCTGACTCCAGCCTTAGAGCTCTATCTGCTGCCCCTTAGACACTTAGGAGCTCCTAAAGGAGTCATTTAATCTTTCTCAGTCTCAGTTTTATCTCTAAAATGGAAATAATAATAGAATTTACTTCACAGGACTTGTGTGAGGGATCAAATAAGGTAATATATGTAAAGCCTTTATCAAACATTAAAGTCCTCTATAAACATTAGCTATTATTTTTTTCTGGGGCCAATGGCATGTATTTGTAATGTCATAAATGAGACGGGGGCTGCAGCCTATCTTGTGGATGGCAGCAATGGATAGAATCAAGATAACTGATCTATGTGAAGACCAAAGACTTGGTTGGCCCCATTAGCAGAAGGCCCCAGGGGCCCAGGCACTCTACCCCATTACCCCAGTCCTAGAAGAGCCTCAAATATGGTGGAAAGGTTGGAATTCTTGGCATTTTTGCTGCAGACCTTGTTTTTTCTCCACCCAGTCCACCAATTAGTTTGGACGCTCTCTCCAACTTCTTTGCACAGAGCTCCACCTGATCTTCCAGCCGGACTTTTTCCTCGGTCTTTTCAAGGAAAGTCTGCTGTAAATTGGCCAGGCGATCCTCCACGGCCTTGAGCTCTGCTCTCTTCTGATTCAGAAGAGCCATTGTCTCTCCCAGGGACTTCTGGGCTTCTGCTAAACGGGCTTTCTTGGGAGCAACCACCTAGGTGGAAAGAATTCCGTGAAAATTCTAGTTACTGGCAACATATACACAAAATTCAAGAGACTCACAAACCTTCACATGGTGGATAACTTAACCCTTTGGGCAAATCAACGACATAGAATTGTTCCATCCCACTAAGTGGGAAAAATATTTTATAAGTGATACTTCAGGGCAGCAAAACGGATCTTAAGGAAAAACTTTAGAAAATATGGCAAGGAAAATAAGAGACACATTTTTGGGACACACAGTAGGAATTGCTTTTGATGCTGCATATTTGCTGTAAAATTTTGTTTTTCTTGTTTTCTTTTAAATTGGGGTGATGGAAAGGGGCAAGAAAGAAAGTCATTGAATCATTTTTTAAATCAGTAAGAAGACTAGAAAGAATCAAAGATAAGTAGTGTGGTTTTAAAAGTTTTTGTTCAGTCATGTCTGACTCTTCAAGACCTCACTTAGGGTTTTCTTGGCAGAGATACTGGAATGGTTTTCTATTTCCTTTTCTAGTTCATTTTACAAATGAGAAAACTGAGGCAAACAGGGTTAAGTGACTTGCCCAAGGACACACAGCTAGTAAGCATCTGAGGCCAGATTTGAACTCAGGTCTTCCTGACACCCGGCCCACTCTATCCACTGTGCCACGGAGCTGACCCACAAACATTTTTTCTGCTTGTTTTGGCCTGGTTTTGAACCAGGGACTTTCCACGTGTTAGGTGAACTTGATAATCATTACACTAAAGAAACTGTGTTTTAAAAGAAAAACCAGCTGTCCATAATAGAGATTCATCACTGTTCCACGTATAATCCTCTTTTTCTGTTCTACTACATATATGGAATGCTCACTTTATTTGGTGTTGGTTAAGTTTGTAGTGAAAAAAAATGTTTTAAAGAGTAAACAAGGCATGTCTAAAAATCTTACATTTAAGAGTTTGATGCTGGTTCCTTCTGTGCAATCTACTGCCTCTGATGAGATACTGGGGGCAGGCCGAGGCTCTGGCTTACAAAGGGAGGGCGCAGTTATTATTTGCTAGTGATCGATAATGCAATGGGCCTGAAGCCAGTTATGGAAATATGGAAGGGGAAGGCAAGAAGGGGTAGAAAGAGATGGCTCAGGTTGGAAAGAGACAAAGAAGGGCCAGAGGAGTTGGTATCCAAAGACTGAACTGAACAACTCATAAGGGAAAGTTGGGATTACAAGAAAAAAATATGTAAAGTGCTTTCTAAGCATTAAAGTGTCATACAAACTCTAGCTTACTCTTACTATTATTGATTGGTTTGGTTTTTAGTATGAGAAAGTAATATAGGATGGGGAGCAATCCCTTGGAGAGGGTTGTAGCAATAAGCATACTTGAACCAATCAGGATATTTGGTGATTATGAAGAAATGAGGAGTACAAGCATTTATGACGCTACCAAAGAGTTTTGGGATACACAGAGAAATGAGCTTCTTCTGTTGTAAATGGCCAGCTTTGAAAGGGAAGTAGGTGGGGATAGAGGTGATTGCTACCGCTGAGTATAGTGGTAGCTTTTTCTTTGGTCTGGAACTGTCTCATTACATTAGTGTGGACAGCCCTTCTACCAACACAGATCAGAACCTCATCTGCAACTTACAGTCCAAGGGAAGTGCCTAAAAATGGAGAGGTCATTGGTGCAAGGTCACAAGACTTCCTGACTCCAAGGCCTCCTCTCCACCCACTGCACCATGTTTCTTCTCGTTCAGACGTTTTTCGGTCATATCCGTCTCCTTCATGACCCGTTTTGGGATTTTGTTGGCAAAGATACTGGAGCAGTTTGCCATTTTCTTCTCTAGCACTGTACCATGGAACTTCTCACTAATTTTCTTGGCCAATTTTAAGTTGAATGGATGGTATGATGTTTATGCTAAGGCTGTGACTTTAGGCAAAAACATAGAGATGAGGGCCAAGTTTTTGGTGTTCCCCTTAGCTCTGTGGGAAACTGAGTAAGGGGGTGAGATCAGTGAGGAGGAAGAGAGCCCCATCAGAGACTCCCATGTGCATCCCAGAGAGTCTTTGGGTGGCAAAGAAGCATTTGGGTGAGGCTGGATCATCCCCAAAGAATTTACCAACTGAAAGTGTGAAGGAAGTAAACAAACACATGGAAAATGGGGCAGATCTGCCCTTTTCCATCACAATCTCTTTCCGTAATCGATGACCATGGAATAGTCACATTTGGAGTCTCTCTGCTTAGTGTGATACATGCAGAGATGGAAAATGCACCTAGGATGAAGACGATGGACAGAGCTGGCAGACCAGACAGAGTACACACAGGCAAACTAGGGGCTTAGAAGACACAATATTAAAGCCTCCCAGGGTTACATTTTCCAGTTACGTTAGAGAAGGAAGATACCAAAAGAATGGGGAGGGGAGAATCATAATTACCAAAACAGAGGACATTCTGGGAGATGACATCAGCTACTACTGACCCAAGTGACTATTTTCAGGAGAGGCAGCACGGCAGAGGGGACGAAGAGTGACCGGCCAGTCTGTGTCAGAAGGAGCTGGGTCTGAGTCCTGCCTCGGACACATCTTAGTCATGGAACCATGACCAGGGACTAAATTTCTCAGTACCCCCAGACCACTCCACAAAATTATTATTTACAAATAAACTACGCATCAGAAGCCATGGAGGAAGTGGCCACATTGAAGGGTTCCTTATACAGATGGACCCTCAGGCCCAATCCACATCAGCATGGTCTATCCACATGTCAAGGACACCCTTGAGGAAAATATCAGAATGTATAGACGAGGTTTTGAAGATTATTTTCTATCTCTACACAGTCACACAATTAACTAAAAGTTATAGATAATACAAGTTCTCACTGGTTTCTTTTTTGTTAATTATCCATAAATATAAAAAAGCACAACTTGGGAGGGGAAAAAATGAAGCCTTAAAGGTTCTCCTCTAATCAGGTGACTCTCATGCATAGGTTAAGGTCAAACATGAGTCCTTAAAATATACAATCTCAGGGGCATAGGTGGCACAGTGGATTGAGTTCAAATCCAGCCTCAGACACATAACACTCACTAGCTGTGTGACTCTGGGTAAGTCACTTAACCCCAACTGCCTCACTAAAATATATCTATATCTATATCTATATATATATATATATATATATATATATATATACACACACACACACACACAATCTCACAAAAAATAAACATAGCCCCAAAGAAGAGATATGAGAAATAGTACGTACACGCTTACATAAATATTTGTCTTCTACACTATAATATAGGTCCCTGGAGAGTTGGGATTAGTTCTTTCTTTGTATTTGCGTTCCCAGGGCTAGCACAATGCCTGGTACCTGGTCAGTGCCTGATAACTGCTTGATTGATCAGTCCATCTCTCCATGTATCTTTGGCAAATATGGCTGACAGGTAGTAAGCTGGGCCCAGAATTGAATTCAAGAATTCTGGGCAAATCCCAGATTGCATTTGAGAATTTGTCCAGTGAGTTCAACAATCCCAAATTTTTTTATTCTCTGAAACAAAATTCCATTTATTCTGATACTTCTCTTATGACACTTTATAGTATGGAAGAAAATTGTAGACAAATTGCCAATCTGTATTGGTAGAGGGTGTTTCCATGTTGGGAATTCACTTGTGAAATCATGGGTCTGGCCAAACATGTATGTGAATACATATGTGTGTATATTATATACACACACATATTCATACACATACATAGGTATCTGCTGATTTCAACTTCTAGAAATTTTTTAGCATGTAAACTGTTTCCAAGAGCACCTTCATGAGCACGCCCATTACCTTTGCAACTCTGTCATAGACCTCCATGGCCATAATCCATTTGCACAGACCCTCAGCTGCAGAAGACGCCTTGGCCACTTTAGGGGGGTCAAACTCAGGGTTTGTTAGGTATTCACCTCGAATCTTCTGCATAACAGACACCTACAGGACAAGCAAACAGATCTCAAAGTTAATGAATACAAAATATGAGGATGGAAAAAACAATTGCCTGAAATTGCAGAATCTTTTTGGAGAGCAAAACAGGCAGTAAAATGCAGTCAGAGTTTCAAAACAAATCCTGTGCTTGGAGCCCAAAAATTATATCATTCAAAAGAGCCGTTTGCTTGAAGACTTTCATAGCAGTGTTACTTGTAACTGAAGAAAACTGGAAGCAATCTAAGTGTCCAATAACAGGGGAACAGCACATTGTTGTCTGTTAATTGTGCTGTAATTAATTAAATGCAATGCAATTAAGACTGACAAGTATGAGGACCACAAAGAATTTGGAAAGCCTTTATGAAGTAAAGGGGATAGGGATAGATACGGGGATGGGGGTGGGGGTGGGGACTGAAGATAGGAAGCTCCTTCCACCAATGCAGGTCGGCAGCTTCTCTGCAGCCTATGGTCTCAAACTGCTGCCTAGAACACTGAGAGGGGAAGGGACTTACCCAACACAAAGTCCAAAAAAAACCACAATAAGGGAGCATACACTAACCGGGGCCATGTAAGAGGAAACGTGAACTGGGAATGGCCAAAGAATCTGGATGGAAACTTAGAGGGAGGGAGTAAAAGGTTAAATCAGGGCATAGCAGAGAGCCAACGGTGAAGTCATGAAGGTCTGGATTCAAGTCCTACCACTGACACACACTAGATAGGTGACCCTGGATAAGTCACTGAACCTCTCAAGGTTCTAGAGTCTTCTAAGATTTTAGGCTGCAGAGAAGCTGCCGACCTGTATGAGAGAAGGAATTTTTTTCATCTAAGAGTTCCCTGTGCCAATAAAATCACAAGCCCAGTCCCAGTGCTGGACCTGTTCAGATTCATTTATTTAAATGTAAAAAATTGCAAAGTAAGTTTGCTTAGTTATAGTTATATTTAATATTATTTTTATTCAGTCATTTCAGTCATGTCTGACTCTTCATGACCCTATTTGGTACTTCCTTGACAGGGATACTGGGGTGGTTTGTCATTTCCTTTTCCAGTTCATTTTACAGATGAGGAAACTGAGGCAAACAAGGTGAAGTGACTTGCCCAGGGTCACACAGCTAGTAAGGGTCTGAGGCTGGATTTGAACTCAGGAAGAATTCCAAGCCCAGAACTCTGCCCACTACAGCACCACCTAGCTGTCCTATATTTAATATGAAGTTGTAAGAAATCATTTTTTTAAATCACATCATATATAATGAAAAAGTTTCTGTATAGCAAGTTCTTACATGATCATCAGGAGGCAGTAAGAGTACAATCAATGAATCAATCAATACACATTTACTAAGCACCTACTACGTGTGTGGTAGGCACTGTGCTAAGCGTTGGGTTACAGAGAGCCCTGGCCCTGGAATCAGAGGACCTCGGATCATATCCCACCTCTGACATTCACTACGTCTGTGACCTAGAGTGAATCATTAACTCTCCCCAAGACTCAGTTTCCTCATCTGTAAAGTGAGAGGGGGTGGCCTAGATAACCTTGAAGGCTCCTTACGACTTTAAATCTATAAGCCCTGTCTTAGCCCTGAAAGCCAACGGTCAACATTTTAAGAGACAATTTCCAAGTGAATACTCCCACAACCCAAACCCAAATCCAATCTGTGATCCAAACATTAGGCCTTACATTATCATAGCTCTACAGGCAGGAGATGCCGTAGACAGAAGAGAAAACCAAAAGCAGGGCTTCCCAATGGAAAGGAAAATGGAAACAGAAGAAGTGTACAAGTTGGCAGAACCGAGCGACTGAAAACCGGAACAAAAATGCAAAGATCGGGAGCTGGCACGTGAGGTCAGCAGCCTCTCGGACCCACACAAAGGTCCGTCGTCATCACCACCCACACCTCTGGAGCGCTCCCAGCTCTGCAAAGCACCATCCTCACAATCCCTCCTGACCCTGCCCCGCTCCGGCGCAGGCCCTCACCACCTCTGCCTGGACCACTGCAGTCGCTGCGGGTGGGACCTCCGTGCTCAGGTCTCTCTCCACTCTGGCCCATCCCCGCCTCAGTCATCAAAGCCCAGATCTGATTGCGTCCTCCTGCACTTCTGCAAACTCCAGCAGCTCCCTATGGTCTCTGGGATCCAATACCAAATCCTTCTTTCGGCTCTTCAAGCTCTTCACAGCCGGTCCCTTCCTACCTTTCCCATCTCACATCTGACTCCCAAAGCATACTCTCGGATCCAGGACCCCAGAGCCTCCTTGCTGCCCTCCCACACAACTCTGCTTTTTCTGCCTCCTGTGCATAGAAAGCTGCTCCTCACGTCTGCTTCCTGGCTGCCCTGGCTGCCTTCGAGATTCAGCTCCTCTCCTCCTGCCTCCCAGGACTCTTCTCTCCCCGTCCCTCCCACTGTGGGTGCCTTCCCTCCGAGATGACCTCCAACTTATCCTGTATCCATCTTTTACAGACGTCTTCTCCCCCATTAGATTGTGAGTTCCTAGAGGGAAAGGATTATGTTTGCCTTTCTTTGTATCCCTGGTGCCTAGCACAGTGCCTGGCCCATAGTCGGCACTTAGTAAAGACTTGTTGGTTTGACTTGACCTGCAAGTATTATCATATCCATTTTACAGATGAAGAAACTGAGAAAGTCATGAGATTAAGTGACTCACCCAAAGTCACACAGGTGGTAAATATCTAAGCCAGGATTCGAAGCCAAATGCCCTGCTTAAATTCCCCCTCTGATTTGGGACCAGTCGCTTAACCTCCTGGGCCTCAGTTTCCTCATCTGCAACATGAGAAGGCTGAACTTGAAGGCCTCTGAGACACGCTCTTATGACACCTCGGTCAGTGTGTTTTCTATACCGCCTCACTCTCAGGCCAACAGCACACAGTGGCAATATTGGTAAAAGGCTTCAAGATGTACGGAGAGGTGAGGAGTTTACACAGTCTAAAAGCCTAGATCGATATCATCATCGTGAGTTTCTACTATAATTACATGAAGTCATCCAGGAAAAAAAGTGCTCTCTTTCCATATTTTATTGCAAATATCTCCAGTATTGCACACACTTTTAGGAAAATGGACACATGCATAGGAAAACACAGGCAGGGGCACTTACCGGAATGTTGTCCTTGTCATATTCTTTCAGATCTCTTAAGAAATTCATGTCTCCCAGGACTTTTTTGCTGGGGCCCCAATAATCCAAGATCTGTCAGCAAAATCAATGAAGAGACATCATTTCAATATCCAAACAAAGTCATTTACCCATCCACGTCTCCTTGAACCCCCGACCCACTGAACCCACACAGAAATGATTTGTGTCTTCTCACACTTATCAGCACTTTGCATTTCATCTGGACACATCAGTTCATCTTCAAAAGGATTTTCATGGGAATCTCAGTGTATGGACTTCAGTTCTGTAAGTTATCAAAAACTCAGACTATCCACCATGCTTGGAACACTGCCCCGACCTCTCTGAATCCCCAACTTCCTCCAAAGCCCAGCTCCAATACAAGCGCCTACATAAGGCCTTTCCTGAACCCCAGGGGTGAGGGACACCCCCAAATTACTGAGTATTTACTTCATATGTATTTTGTATCTGCTCACATGTGTACATGCGTCTCCCCAATAGAATTTAAGCTTCTTGAGGGCAGAGACTGTTGTATTTTTGTGTCTATATGCACAGTGCCCATCACGGGGTTTGGCATATAGAAGGTGCTTAATAAATGCTTATCGAATGAATGAATGAAAAAGGAATTCAATATTGAACGACACAAAGATGTTTGTTGCTGACAACTTAAAAATTCAACCAGGATCTAACAAGTTCAAGATAATAAGGGGAAAAATCATGTCAGGTTATGATTTTGGGGCACTGTATTTGAAATTTCCCAGCAGGGAGGTCGGCAAGCAAGTATTCCTCTCAGGGATATTCTCTGCCTTGAAGCCTGTAAAGGGAAAGTGGAAGAATTCTGGACTTGGAGGGAACAAACACTTGGATTCCTATCTTGCCTCAGTGCTAACCCAGCAGGTTGAGGAGACCGACTAGGGAGCCAGTCCAGGGGAGAGAAATATTCCCAGGGATTTACACGAAAGCACACGAGCCTCAACCCCAGCGTCCTTCGGAAAGGCAGCATGTGCCAAGACCAACAACAGAACTGTGTCTTTGGCACTGATCAGCCGTGTGACGCTGGACAAGCCACTTACGGCCAGTGCAGCTCAGTGCATAGGACACTGGGCCTGGAAGTGGGAGACCCCAGAGTTTAGTGGAAAGTGTGCTGAATGTGAAATCAAAGGACCTGGGTTCAAATCCTGACACCTACTACCTGCGTGGCTTTGGGCCAATCACTTCCATCTCTGGGCCTCAGTTCCCTCATCTGTCAAATGGGCATATTAGAACAGATGGCCTCTAAGGGCCCTTCAAGTTCTAAAGCTGGGATGCTCTGATCCTGCCTCAGATGACTCAGAGGACATGAAGAGATGGACTACGGAGAAATTCTGAGACTCACAGGGTCTTATTGTTAGAGGTTATTCAGTCTAATTCCTTCATTTTGCCAAAAAAAAAAAAAGAAAAGAAAAGAAAAAGAAACTAAGGTCCAGAAAGGTTAAATAAAGGTCTAGAAAGGTTAAGTAACTTGCCCCATGGTCAAAAAGTTAGTAAGAGTATGAGGCAGGATTCAAACCCAGGTCTTCAACCAACAACTATTTATTAAGCAGCAACATTAAGCACCTACTATGTGCCAAGACAAAAGTGAGCCAGGCCCTGCCCTCCAGGAACTTAGACAAGAAGAAAAAGTGGAGGTGGATTACAAGCCACACCATTGGAAAGGAGTATTTGGCTTGACCTACCCCTGACCAAGAATCCCTTTGACCTCATCCCTGACAAGTGGCCATCCAGACTCCACTTGAGACATCCAATAAGGGAGAGCCCATGACCTCCCCAGATAGTCAATCCCGCCCTTGCACTGCTCTGGTAGGCTGCTTTTCCTGCTATCAAACCTAAAACTTCCCCCTGGTTCTGCCCTCTGGGGCCAAGCAAAACCAAGCTAATCCCTCCTCCACAAAAGAGACCTTCAAATTCTAGAAGAAAGGCCTCAATTCCCCTCTTTCCCTTCTCCAGACTAAACACCCCTAGCTCTTTTCATCCAGTCCTCAAATGGCAAGAACCCAATGCCCATCTCCACTGTGGCCTCCCTCCTCCGAACACTCTCTGGCGCCCCCCAAGCTATCATGCATTATTCACATCCCGTGGTCCTGTTCTCCTCTCTGCTGGAGAAAAGACTGGACTGGATGACCCTTGACCCATTTACATTTACATAATAAGTGATCTATTAAAGTATTAATAACTCTTGTCGTGAATCTTCTTAGCTTATCCACATCCCCGCCCTTACCTTGCCCCCAGTTCCTGCAGGATCTGTGATTTTCTCCGGTTTGATGTCCTTCATGACACAAATAGCAGCCATCACAAGCTTGACTCCAGATGGAGGATTTTTCATGGATTTCACAATAGTGATGTCAGCGGGCTAAATGGAAAGGAAAACAGAGACATCTTCAAACATTGCTTACTCCTACAAGAGAAGCCTAAAAAATGTCATCTGGGACGTTAAGACGAACAAATAAAAAGGATCGTGTTTGACTCAGAATTATAATCGTATGATTTGCTATACTGTGATTAGGGGAAAATTCCAGAATTAGAGAGCGATGGAATGCACGGAGCCCTGGCCCAGGAATCAAGAAGGAAGGCCTGAGCCTGGGATCAAATCCCACCCCTAACAGGGACTGACTGTGTGACCCAGGGCAAGTCACTTAACCTCGGTGCCTCCAGCTATTCTCAACAAAACCACAAGCCCTTCAGGGAAGGAAGATTTAGCAAGGGAAGACTTTGCCCTGAGATTGCTTAGGCTGACACTGACTGAGCAGGCTCTGGATTCCTGGGGATTTCTTCCAGGACCATACAAGGATGTCGCCGTCCTGCAGCAGGAGGAACGCTGGCTCTGGGGCAGTAACTCCCATAGGGAAGTGTATCTTTCTCTGGCTCTAGGAGAAAGATTGCTGAATGCCCCCCAGCCCCAGCCCCACACACAAGCCACGGTGGGGAGGCAGTCTAATGAAGCGAGATGGGGGGCTGCCTTTGGAGCAGGGCCACCTCCTGCCTGTGTGACCGTGGGAAAGTCACTTCCCTTCTCTGTAAAACAAGGGGGTTGAACTGGGTGATCCCTGAGGTTCTCCATCTAAGATTCAGGGAGGTAACCCTCGGCATGCTACCTGCTTTTACCTGGCCCCTGGTCAGTTTCTTCACCTGTACAATGGCGCTAACCCACCCTGGGCTGTTGGGAGGATCAGAGGACACACTGTAAGGCTCCTTACAAACACCAGCTACCATTAGGATGGTCCTCGCTGGGATTCCCATCGCCCGCCACGGCGCTGCTTGCCTTGAGCGTGTCCAGCGCAGAGAGGGCGGCTTCCAAGGCGGGGATGGCCTCGGCGAGGTCACTCTCACACTCGTTTTTGAGGGCCTGGGCTTCTTCGGCCTTCCCGGTAGCCAACTCCTCGTCTATTTTCACAAACCTGCTTTTCGCTTCTACCTGGGCAGACTCGACCTCGATCACCTGAAAGCGGCCAGCAAACGTCAGTGTGGGCGCCGGAGCAAAGAAGCCTCAGCAGGGTTCATTGTTGCCTAGAAAACCTAGAAACGTAAGCTCTTACACCGTGAGAAGAGGGAGAGCTGGATGGCTAGACCTTATTCTTAGTAGTTCTGTCGTTTACTTAAAAATAATGCCGTTATATAAGACCTTAAGGTTTGCAGCCCATTTTACAAACACCTTACTTTACCCCCCACGACAACCCTGGGAGGCAGGTGCCATAGCTGTGCCCATTTTCTGTTTGGAGAAACTGAGACCGAGAGTTAGTGTCGGGTAAGATTTGAACCTGCACCTTCCTGGCTGCAAGCGTGGCTGGCTGTCTCCCTAACCACTTTGAAATTCAGATCCAGAATCAGTATTGATACTGACTTTTCTTTGGACCGAGCCTGGGATTACAGCGGGGAACTTCTGGAAAGGAAACTCCCTTTTCCGAAGCAGATCGGCCCCTTCTCTGGGACGTCAGAGTCTCAAGAGCTGTCTGGGCCCTGCCCAGGGAAGTGACCTGCCCAGGGTCACACCGCCACTAAGTGTCTGTGAGTCCGAGGCCCGCTCTCTCTCTGCTGTTCCATGCTTCCCCCCATCATATGACCTCATAAAAGCACAAGCCTGTTCACTCTTTTAGCAACCCCAAACGCTACGCGTTCTCTGCACTCTCAGTCCAGGCCCTTCTTCTGTAATTTTTCACTTAACTGATTGAGAGGATTGGCGCCAAGAATGACAGACTTGGGAGTAGACCAGAGGCTCCTACGATTCGCTGGAATGAAATGTATCCGTTTAAAATAAGACAAAAAAGGCAAAAGCAACCCCAGAGGGGAGGCCTGGGAGGCTGGTCACAAAAGAAGAGAAAGTGAGTGGGAAGGTGCCTGGGTCCAAGGGAGCTGAGACTCCCAATTCTACTTTGACCCAAAGACCCACTCCCCTTGCCAGGAACAGTGAGCCAGTACCTGGAGGCTCCCTGCCCTGTGGGGCAGACAACCTCTTACTTAGTACTACTAAGGACTGAGGCAGTGGGGTGACACCCTAATGCGTGGGTGCTGGGCCTGGAGCAAAGAAGACTCCTCTTCCTGAGTTCAAATCTAACCTCAGACACTGACTAGCTGTGTGAGTTTGGGCAAGTTACTTAACCCCACGTGCCTCAGTTTCCTCATCTGAAAATGAGCTGGAGAAGGAAATGGCAAGCCACTCCAGTATCTTTGCCAAGAAAACCCCAAGTGGGGTCACGGAGAGTCAGACATGACTGAAAGCTCTCCTGAGTCTTGCCACACTCCCACAGAACCTCTGGGCCTTTCCATCAACCCTGCCGCTGAGCCTTCCTGTAAATGAGGCTCCCCCCCAATGAGAGTATGAGCTCCCTGAGAACAGGAGCTGCCATCTTTTTCTATCTGTATCATCAACACTTAGCAAATGCTTGGCATAGAGTAAGCACATACAATATAGTTGTATTTTTAACTCATTCATTCATGATAGCAAGAACTTAGGACTTACACTCAAAGTGGATGAAGATGAAATCACTAATTTGCAATTCAAGTTGTACAAACTAGTGATATCACCCAAGCTTGCAATACCCTGAAAATTCAAGAGACCCGTACCTTCATCATGTTGGCATTCTCCACTTTGGCCTCCTCCAGTTTGGGCTGCAGCTGAACCAGTTCTAGCTTCATCTCACCAACCTAAACAGGCATGATGCCATAACATTATCTGGACTGCATTGGAAGCAGGCCACAAATAGAGGGCGGAGCAACTCAAACATGCCTTTTTTCCATTGTGTGTGTGTGTATGTATATGTATATGTGTGTGTGTATGTGTATGTATGTACATAAATACATATACATAATATTTTCCCCAATTACATATTAAAACAATTTTCAACTTTTTTTAAGTTTTGAGTTCCTAATTCTGTCCCTTACTCCCCCCTCGCAAAGACAGTAAGCAATCAGATATAGGCTATACATGTGCAATCATATAAAACATTGCCATATTAGTCATTGTGCACAAGAAGACAAAAAAGGAAGGAAGGAAGAAAGAAAGAGAGAGAGAGAGAAGGAAGGAAGGAAGGAAGGAAGGAAGGAAGGAAGGAAGGAAGGAA